TATAATAAATTTCTTAATCTTATTCTAATTATATATAGAAATAATTATTCTTAGTTTGATTTTAGATTCTTATTATAGTAGAACAGCCAGTTCTTTTCTAAAATTAGATTATATCTGAAATTATTCAAAAATTTATATAAAAATATATTTTTTATATAGAATTCTATATCTATTCTTGCTTATATGCTAGAGTAGATTAATATTTTATTATTTAAAATTTCCTATATCAGTTTTAGATTAATATTAATAATTAATAGATTATCATTTTAGCAAATATTTTATTTATAATACTATAGATTAAATATTCTGAATTAATAAAAATATAAATAATTATAGTAAGATTTAAAATAGTTTCTATTAAAAAAAATATATATAATTATATATTTTTTTGAAAATATTTCTAGTTTTTTAATTTTGTTTAGTAATTCTTATTTAGATATACAACTTTATATTATATTTTTTAAATTAAAGTTTTTATGTAAAAGATATATTATTTTTTATTATTATAAGACGTGTATAGCAGCAGCTATACTTATTAATTATATAACAAATTTTCAAAAATATTAATAAATATAATAATTTATTTTATATTTTTTTATATTTTTTTATATTTTGCTGGGTGTTATTTATGAAGTCTGTTTCTAAAAATAATTAATTATTATATAAAAGTAATATTTTTTATTATATAATAATTATTTAAATAGATTTTTATTTTATTAATTTAAAACTTAATTTGCGTCGCGCTGATATAATTTTAATATAATGTTTTTAAAAAAAATATTTTATTAAAATTATAATTTATACAGTATAGTTAGTTGTAATAATCTTTATATATAAAATTTTAAAAAATTCTAATTAATTCTTCAATAAGTTTTTAATTTATTATAATATTTAATATAATTTTCTTCTATTCGTCCAACTAATTATATTCTTTTATTTATAATAGAATTTTATTAAAATTATTTAAAAAGTTTTTCAGTTCTGTTCTGTCTTATTTTATTATATTTATTCGATTTAAAACTTTTTATTATATATTAAAGTCTTTAAATATTTTATTTATTATTATAAATATATTTTTAAATTATATTATTTTAGTATTTTAAATTTTAATTTAAGAAAGTATCTATTTTACTGTCTGTTCATATAATTAATTATAAATATAAAAGAATTCTTTTACTTTAATAAAATAATAATTTCTATTAATAATAAATTTTATATATATATTTAATTTTAATAGTTTATAAAAATATTTATTTCTTTATTAGATAATTTTATATTAAAATACTAAGAACGGGGTCTGTAATTTAATTTATATAAATATTATAAAAGATTTTCTTCTAATTTACTGTTAGTAGTAGAAATTATATTATAATTTTATAATTTATTTATCTACTTTTTAGAGGCTAATTTCTGTTTTACTATTTTTATATAAAAATTTATTTATTTTTATAAAAGAAGTTATATATTATTATATATAACTGCGGACGCTGCGGTCGGCCGTAGTTTTTTCTAATTTATTTATTTTATTATTTTAATAATTTTTTTTAGTTTTATTTTATTTTATTTATATGTCTAGTCGGGTTCTATTTAGAACTTTTTAATAAGCTATTTCTAATATTACAGAACAGATGGATTTTAATAATTAAAATATATTTTAAAATAAAAAGAAATAATTCAAAAGCTATTTTATTTATTTATATAAAATTTTTTTATATATGCTAAGCTAGCGCTAGTTTAGTATATAGCGTGTGAGGCCTCAGGTACTAACTGGTACCTAAAGCTGAGCTCTATATCAGGGCCTTGGCCCCATAACACGTTCAAGCCACACGCCGGGAGGTTAGTAGTTGGGTGGGTGACCACCAGCGAATCCCTTCTGTTGTATGTTTTGCTTTTTATTGCAAATTCACTGGTGTGACAGATCATGCCGAACCCCTGGACCAGCAGGCATCCCTTTTCTTTTTTTTTTTCTTATTCAGCTATATGTATGAGGTCTGCTTAGAGTGGGCTACACAGCGGGCGGCCGGGAGTCCTTATAGTGAATGCTCCTGCGGGTAGAGTGCCTGAGGACCATCTAGTCTACGAGTCCAACACCTTTGATTGAACTACATACAGTCCAGTCCATCATTATACTGTAGGTGCAAGTGCGGATTATGCCACCGGAGGATCTCGGATTCGTACTTCCGGACCATAGACGGTCATCTCCTTGGCTCTTGAGTCTTGATAAGTTGCCCCAGCCCGTATCCCCCCACTCTTCCATCAAGCCAACTCTAAACCTATTGCAGTTAACCAATTCACCTCAGGAGGTACGCTTTGCATTATCCCGATCCAGCAATCAGATCACTCTAACAGCCTTTGAAATAATTAGTCAATTCCAAATTTCCCATAACGTTAGTGCAACATGTTGATCGCGCGCGCGATGGGATCCCGGTCTAGCACGGATCGGGCAAGTGATCGGCGATCTTCGACTCAGGGATCAAGCCGATCTCTCGCTCCGCAGTTCAGCTGTGTGCCACTGTGCGTCTAACAGGAAGCGATTGACATCTTCGGGTGGTTAGAATCGTGAAGAGGGATCCGACTGCCCTAGGCGAGAGTTCTCTTCGCATGGGCCGCTAATTGCCTGGGTAGTGGGCAATAATTCCGGGGAAAAAAAATTCAAATAGGAGGCCAGTCCCCTCCCCTTGCTGCTGAAGCGTCCATCCAGTCCTGCAACGCCAGAAACACTGCTTCAAGACCCAGGCAAAAAATGCTGCACCAAGCTCTCAAGTCGCTCGCGGTCGCCGCGCTGGGGCTGAGCGCCCTCCTCCCCACGGCGCTGGCGCAGCAGCAGTCGGCCAACGCCAACACGCTGGTGAGCCGGCGACTGACCGAGTACCTGCTGCCGGTGGCCACGGAGACGCACGAATTCGCGCGGGTGCCGAACACGAACTTCGTGCTGCTATCGCAGATGTCGGACAGCGAGCTGGTCAAGATCGAGCTCGACCCAACCACGGAGGAGCCGATCGCGTGGCAGACGTTCCCCATGGGTCGCAACCGCAGCTCGCAGCTGCACGGGGTGTGGCCGTCGACGTTGTACCCGGGGTTGATGTGGCTGACGCTGCAGGCGGAGAACAAGCTGCTACTCGTGGACCCCGGCCGCACGCTGGCGGCCAAGCCCGTGGTGGTGCGCACGATCGACATCCCCGTCCCCGGCAACGGGCCGCACTGCGTCTTCGAGATCGGGAACCGCGTCTGGGCCGGGCTGAAGGTCGCCTCGCCGCAGACGGGCCAGTACTACGTCTTCTCGGCGGATGTCTCCCACTTGAACGCTACCCTCCCCCGGTCTGGCTCCAACTCGACGACCGTCGCCGCCAGAGACCCGAAGCTGTACCCCTGCCTCAACAGCCCCGTCTTCATCAAGGAGGAGCCCACGACCGGCCTGATCTACGTGACCCAGGACACGGACTCGGCCATCCTGCGCATCAACGCCACCAGCGGCGAGACGGCGCAGCTGCCCATCCCGCCGAGCGTGGGCAACAACGCCGTCGGCATGATCTCCGTCGCCGCCGCGGGCCCGCTGCGCGGCGGCGTGTGGTTCACGCTGGCCGGCAACGCCACCGGCGGCACGGGCACCTTCGGCCGCATCGGCGCCGACGGTGAGATGGCCTTCTTCCGGCTGCGGCACCCCTTGCTCGGCGCCAACGCGGGCCTCCTGCACCTCGCGGACGCATCCACCGCCGCCGGCGGCCCCGCCCTCTGGCTGCTGTCCACCTCCCTGCTGAGCAGCAACTCCCCCGACGCCCTGATCCGCGTCACCTTCGACGCCAACATCACCGCCATCGCCGACGAGGAGTACGTCTCCATGCTCACCCAGAACGCCATGGTCCACCGCGTCCTACCCCTCGACCGCACCGTCCTCGTCTCCGAGCTCCACACCTTCACCCTCGCCCAGCTCGCCTACAACCATACCGTCGCCGGCCAGTGGCTGCCCGCCGAGGCCGTCACCAACACCACCGTCTACACCCAGGCCGGTTAGAGAGGGGGGGATGGTTTCCTCGCTTAGGGCCGTTGACTGCTGGATGAGCTGATGAACATGCCTGCCTCCAGGGGGGCATTATACATATACATACTTTTGGTTTCTAATTCTAATCTAATATGATATAATACTTTGGTTACAATATCCTGCGCATTGGATGATGGACAAGTTGGCGATGAACTGGCTGCTGGGTGCTCAGTGAAGCAAGCACCTTTCAATTTTCTGGTACCATTGTAGGGTTTGCGCCTGCTCTCTCTTCTTAGTCTTGTCTTCCGTTCTTATGAGATTGGCATTGATGAGTGCACTTATAAATACCGATGGTGAGAGGCAGTGGAGCCAATCAACACCGTTGCATGCAGACTCCACTTCGATCGGCATGTGAGGGCTTCCTTATTCCTTGCAACACGAAAAATATAGGGCGTTATTAGTGGATGGGATGTGAGCATACGGCAGGTAGATGAACTACTGCTTGTCAACCAAGAGTTCCATTCATGGGGAGAAAATAAAGGAAGACGGCTCGCAGGGCCTTCGCTCTGCGCTATGTACATAGATAGTGCCATGGGTGCCTGAGGCATTTTTGGCGGGATGTATTGACAGGCCGCCTAGGCGCCTGTCATTGGAGCCCTAGTGCTGAAGCAGTGACTGGTGATGATAGTCAAAGCGAATCAACTCTCGACAGTAATAGATACGAGACCCCGTGAGACCTCAGGCACGAGGCAGATAAGACGAATCCCCACCATTCTAACTTAACCCCAATGAAACACCCCTCACGTCAAACCCTGCCCCTCGAGTCCGAATCCAATATCCCACGCACTCTCGTTCAGCAAGTCCAAATGCTCCGCCAGACTCAAGATCTGTGTAGGCACATGGTAATCTCCTCATCCGCCATCATGAACTCCGACTTCACCGCGGGATCCGTCTGCTCAGGAAGGGTCACCATGCGGGAGACGCTTTCCCTTCCATCATCATGATCACTACTCTCCCCACTCACGACATGTCCGGTCATCTTCTGCAGCAAATCCAATTCCTTCTGTCGCAGCGCGGCGGTCATGTTGCCCTTGGCCACAATGTCGGACAGCATGCACGAGGCGGTGAGCACGTAGTTGGCTATTTCTGGCACCAGAGCAGGGTCAATGAAGTGGGCGATGGTGAGAATGAATGCGGAGGAGAAGATCCCTTCCAGGTCGAAAGGGAGGAACGATTCTATCCATTCTGTTGGTTCCATACAACCCGAGAAAAAAAAGAGAGAGAGAAAAGAGAGAAGAAGAAGGGAAGGGAACAGAAAGAATAAAAAATAAGAAGAAGAGTGGCAGACATACCGAGGAGTGACTGCTTATATAGCACAGACAGAGTCCTCAACGAGATATTGGCCAATTGCAAAGAGGTTTCGAGAAGCGGTCTCAGCTGAATAGGGATTACCGACTCGCCGCGCTGATCCAGCAGTGGTTGGAGCCGGTTGATGAGAAAGTGAAGGAACAGCGGACGCGTGGCTAGAATAATACACTGCAACAACCGTCAGTCCACCTGTGATGTATAAGTGAAAATGACCTACTTGGTGGTATTTGACTGTCAGATGGCTCGTCATGGTCGACACTTTACGCAGGAAATGATGCGAGACTTTGGGCCATCTCCTCCGTCTCCCGCAGAACATCGGCCATCTCTCGCAGCACAGAGTGAATCGTGGAGATGAATGACTGTCGCAATCGAAATCCGTGGTGTATACGGCTAGGAGCACCATGTTAGATAGAGCCGCACACCTCGAATGCTGGACTCACAATTCAACACGCGGCCGTCGTGCGGGAAAGCTTGACATGCATGGTGAAGAACAGAGCATCCTCCGACTGATCGTAAGCGACGGGAGCGTACAAGTGATTTCCGCACCTTGGATCGATACTGGACTCCCTATCATCGATGATAGCTGCCGGTCAAGAATATATGCGGACTCCCAGATGTTACGGCACTGATGCGCGATACCAGTCCCCAAAAGTCCGTCGGGTGGCTCCCGGTATATCCCTTACATATACACATCCGGATCGCCTGGCCGACCTGCGATTGCGGTCAGCCATTGGTCAATACCTTCCTGAAGGTCTCCCACATAAACATAGGCTGTATCTTTCATGTCCACCGACACTAGATACAGACCTATCAGGTACAGGATCTGCATGCCACGATTTGGCTGACAATTCAGGCCAATAAAATTCGGTACTAGAGACATGGCCCGTTTGAAGAAAGCTGATCCTGGCGGTCATTTGGGATTCCTGAATGTAGTCAAGAAAGCCTTGGCGAGAGCGATGATCAGAAGGTATTGAATGAACCATGGGGGCTGAGTTCTGGCCTTCTCGAGCCCTCGATCATAGAACTCGTGGAGATGAGGTATGAACTCGTCTTCGTCGACGAGATATAGCATCCGAGAGGAATGGAACTTGACGGTATTGAGCAAATAGAGAAAGTCATCCAGCGACGGCAGCCCCTCCACAACAGAAGCATCTTCAAAATCAGTTTGGGACCAGCTAAGTTCCCAGGTACAGCCATCGATGTGAAAAGGAAGATCTGGGCACGGGTAGTCGGGAACAGCGGAGTTGAAGAGCAGGAAGACGCGCTGGGAGAAGGACCAGGAGGAGGACGGCCCGCAATATCCTGAAGATGCAGCCAAGTCCATGGAAGTCATCTCAAACCTGGAGCTTACTATATCGTCCGGTTGTATCCTTCAGGTATAAGGATGTGGCCGAGACAAGGGGGTTGGTGATGAGTGCCTCGGCGGTACTGACGCATCTAAGACCAATCAATGGGTGTGCCCTGATGCAATGTATGATACTCTACGATTACCGTCTGCGACAGAAGGTAACGGAGGGCTACTCCGGGACACTCTTTCTTCGGACAATTCCTTGGTCGGTGGCGCTGACCGAGGGCTGCGCAGGGCACAGTTGTCCTCGAGCGCACGCAAATAACTAAAAGCGCCGTCAGTCTCGTCTCATGAGTCGCCAAAGATATAAGGGCACCTTTCTGATACTAAAACCATCCTCTCGGGTCTTTTTAACGTGCAATCAACATGACGTCCGACACAAGATTGACAAGGGAACCGGCCGGAGCATTTGGTCTTCCGGTTTTTTACATTCCTCGCAGCTAGCCTGAGTCAGCAGATATTGTCCACGCGGAGAAGCTGATTGATGAAATGATACGCATTTGACACCTTGTCCAATTGTGATTTTCGTCGAAGATGGCATTCTCGATCGTAATAAGCGATGAATGCATCAAATTGGTGGGAAAGTGAGTCACTGAAGCAAGGATGGTTTTCTCGGAGGCCTCTTCCTAAGCAGACACCGTCCGGAGGAGCCCAGGTGGCGGTTGCCATCAACGGCCTCGGACGGGGGGTTCCGGTGGGACATGAACTGGCAGCTATACAAAACCTCGAACATTGTGCGGATATTTCAATATTCTAACTTACATATACACCGGTGGCACAAATATGCTGGGCAAGCCAATCTATATTGTATGGGGATATCCCTAATAAAATTTTCTTAGATATATACAAGAATAAGAATCAAGCTGATCTCCTCCCATCCCCTCGGCTCTTACTAGCCTTTCAGATAATCAACCATCCCGGAGCTACCGCACGATCGCTATTTAGTTAGAGGAGGCGACACACTGGTAGTAGTAGTCGTTCTGCTTCACGCAGGTGTAGGGGCTGGCGCACTCAGTGGGACCGGTCCAGTTAAGTCCACCGCACTGGTAGTACTCATTGACCTGGCCAGCAGCGTTGGTAGCCAGGGCACCCTGGGGGTCGCTGACACCGGCGCTGCCGCTGGCAGCAGCCACACTGGAGGTGACGGGGCTAGGAACGACGGCAGGGGTGGTGGCGGCAACAGCAACAGCGGTGGTGGTAGGCTGCTTGACAACAACAGCGGTGGAGGTAGGCTGGCTGGCAACAACAGCGGAGGTAGTAGGCTCGGTGGCAACAACAGCACTGGTGGCAGCCGCGGAAGCAGCGCTGCTGGTGCTGTGCAGCTTGCAGGGGGACTTAGACTTGGTGGAGGTGGCAAAGGTGGTAGCGGAAGAGCTGCTGCTGGGAGCGGCGGCAGCGACGGAAACGGCGGAAGTGGTCGAGACCTGAGGGTGGGGAGCAGCGGTGGTGGTCTGCTGAACAGCAGAGACAGCGGAGGTGGCTGCGGAGGTGGCTGCGGAGGTGGCGGCAGCGACAGAGGTAGCAGCGGAGCTGGAAGCAGAGGTGGCAGAGTCACCATCAGGGAAGTACTTCTCCAGGATGGGAAGGTAAGTCGAGTAAGCCGGGCCATCGGAGGGCTGCAGGCTGTACATGTAGGATCCCCACCAGGGACCGGCAGACCACCAAGAGGCACCAACCCAGACATCGCTGTTCTCGGACATGTAGGAAAGCATGCCCTCCACAGCCTCCTCACAGACGGAGTTGACACCACCGGCGAATTCTCCAATAACACCCTTCTTGTTGTTGGTCTGGAGCCACTCGGTGGCGCTCTCGAGACGCTCCTTACCGATGGTGGAGCTGACGCAAGTCTCCGAGGTACCAGAGGCATCGGAGTCGAGGTACTGGTGCATCTCGTAGATGATCTTGTCCTCGGTATCGGTCAGGCCGGAGAGGTCATCGTTGTTCTCGGTCCAGGTCCAGGCACCGGAGTAGCTGTTACCCTCAACAAAGATGTACTGAGTCGTGGCGCCTGCGGCACGGATACCGTCAATGGCGGCCTGGTTGAGGCTCAGGACCAAGGACTGCTCCATATCATGGTACTCGTTGTCTTATCGATTAGTCTCATGCTTCATCAGCAGGCACTAAGCAACTCACTGGTATCAAAGATGACCTTGTCGTTGTCAGCGAACTCAGCGGCAACGTTCTTCCACCAGGTCTGGAAATCAGAGGTGGAAGTGATGATGTTTCCGTTGCTAGTAGAGTATTAGCCACGTATAGCACAGAATGCCGGCTTACTTACTATCTTCCATAGTTGTGGGGATCGAGGACGGCGTAAGCTCCGCTGTCGGTGACGAATTGGACGGTCTGTTCTTGTCAGAATAATTCGACGGATATGATCATGTGGCTCATACCGATTTGAGGTCGCTAAGGTAGGCAGAAGCAAAAGAGCCGGTGATGCTGTCGGGAGTAAGACGCTCCATCAGGAAGGGAATACGGAACATGTTCATGCCCGCATCTCTCAGGATCTGGATCTGGCTGGTCGTAGGCCAGGTGTATGTGGTTCCCAGAGTACCAACGCCGGAACCAAACTCAGCACCAGACTCGCTAACACCGAAGACTGCATCGGTTAGCATTGCTATTCTCTATCCCCACAAGGCATGACCTACAGGTGAAACCAGAGGAAGCACGCTTCTTCATCTCACGCTTAGGGAGAGCGTTGACCATGCCGGCAGCAGAGGCCGCGATAACCAAGTTGCTGATTCTCATTTTTGAAAGAATGTATATCGATCTGGTCGATTAAAAGAGTGACTGAAAAAGAATGAATGAATGCGAGAGTAAAGAAGGAACGTCAAGAGCCAGTCTTGATTGTGATGTGCCAAGCAGCAAAGACGAACGGCCGGGGGCTCTCCTTCTTATACCACTCGATCGTCCAGGCACACAAGCTAGTCGGAAGATTCCCTGGCAATTCAACGGTTCCACTGCTTAATCTCGGAGGCAGAATTGGGCGCATCCCCCTGAGACCGCCACTAAAGGAATCGGGACCCATGCACCCGGGTGGATATGTTAAAGTCGAGAACCTTTCGCCCCAAATCCATCTGCCCCGATATGAGCAGGCTCCAGGCCGACGCCGAAGCTAGCAAGGACCCTTAATATCACTTACATGTGATATCTGGGCGCTTCGCCAGCGACTCCGACCACAACTTTCGCGCCTCGAAAAGAAAAGGAATCCCAGCTGGAAACAAAAAATAATCCCGCATCCCAGACATCAACTCCGGCATTGTTGCGACATCCCCTCAATTCTCCTTCGTGGAAAGTTCGAGTTCAGTGGAGAAGGTGGCCAGCACCGTTGTCGCAGCTCAAGGCTTAGCACAATAGGGAAAAACAAGTGTCCCCATCATGATCACCCTTTTCGGAGACATGCACTGGCCCCAAGCCGTCGTCCTTCATTTCTCCAGGTCAAATTGCCGTTTGGCGGCGTGGGGCCACACCATGCAATTGCTAGGGAATCTGATCTAGATGAAACAGCATCGCGTCCCAAGCCTGCCGTTCGTTGGTGGAGCGCTCGGCGATGGAATTCGATTAATTAAATAATTCCGGGCCGAGGACGCACACAAACGGCGAGGTGCTGGCAGTGAAGAGGGCGGTTGATTTCATTCACTTCAGCTCAGAGCAAGATTTGGTCGTCTTGCTTTTCCCCGACTCGCCCGGCTGTTCTTCCCAATTAATTAATGGACCGGTCCGATATTATTTCACCTGAGACATTCACCCTTTGCGACCCACCGAAACCGTCCACCAACTTCCAGGCTTCGCAGTGCTCATTTCTAGACGACCGACCTGTCATATTGGTGGACGTCTTCACCATGATGATCAATAATCGATCATTGATTAGGAAGATTTTTCTCTTGGCCCTGAGTTGAAGATGAGGAGGGGCGAGTATCAATTCTGTTGACGATGGCACGTAATTTTGAATTTTAGGGGTTCCGGTTTGTTTGTGGTTGTGGAGATTTGAGAGGGGACGGAGCGACGGAGGGACGGAGTACGGGGGAAAAACTCTCTAGCAGGGTACGTTTGTTGCTTGTTTGTCTCTCCTGACAGGCACGTGCCGAAAGTACACCAGAGTGGGAGATTCGTCTCAATCTCACCGCAAGTCACGGAGTACTGTAACTACTGTACATCAGCCAAATGTTCATCATGCATTTACTCGGATACTCGGGTGGCGCTTCTAGTCGCACTGAATTATTTCTCGAATAGACTACCAGCTGGTGCCTAGTTCATGCCCACTTCGCTTGTCCAGTAGCTTGCAATCAATTGCTATTTTGGCATTCTCGATATTAAGCCATTATACTATTTACAAAAGTCACAGCCATTGAGAGTCGGAGCAAAGACCCATGTACAGGCAAGTACATTGCAATTTACCAAAGACCCCAGTCCCCCAGTCCCCCAGTCCCCTTTTCTCATCGTTGGCCGACATGGAATTCAAACGATCGATCACCTTGACCGATCGGGATGGCAGTGGCATCATTGTCATAAAGCGTACGCTCAAAATAGCGCACTCGTCCGTCTGTACTCACCAGGATCACTGTTTGCTGCTGTGTCCCATATGCCCCCTGCAGGAAGGAGTGGTCTAGAGCATCATGTTGCCCGGAAGAAGCATCCTCCGCCGTTTTACTCTCAACGCAGACTGCAGGCACCTCGTCTTTGCGTTTGACAGACTTCTCGCGAGCTCCCAATACTGGGATAAATATGCTTTGCCTGAAGTACGGGAGGTAGTCTTCCGCGGTGGCATCCTCGGCAAGCTTGGGTAGCGTATTGATACTCAGCATATCGAGCAATCTGTTGACCAGGGCATCCTCGTCTTCCCCCGCCTGCGCGTGCTCAGCAATAGCTTCCTTCATCAGTCTCTCACCCTCAAGGATTTTGGGCCAAGATCGGTCGTCGAAAACTGTATTGCTGAGGCCGAGTGTCTGACCTTTCTCTGTGGCAACCCAGGCGATATGATCCATGGTAGACGAGCGATTGGAGACAATGGCCAGGGGTTCATTGACGTAACCGCACAGAAGACTGAATCCACCGACATTCCTGGCAGACGGGCTTGCAACCATTCCTTGCACAAACTCCTCGGTTGACTGTCGTCGGTCCGGAGCCGATGTCAGCCAGCTGTTAACGATGAGACCTCGACTTCGCGCTCCAGTAGCCTGCTCAGAAGTGTCCTCGCGGTAGTTGGTCAACACAGCTACTTTGCCATCTTTAGTGATTCCCATCCACGTCCCATGTGTTGCTCGCGCTAGATCTCGGCCACCTAAGATGTCGGCTGTTGGTTCTGGCCACCAGTCGGCGGGGGATGTTGGTCGTCGAAGGTATTCCTAGCCGTCGTCAGTCCTAAAGCTCTCCACCAAGTGCATCTGGGGTGGGAATGCTTCGTACATCCCTATTGTCGATTATGATCAATGAATAGGATGGATGGGCAGTTGATAACAGTGCAATACACATTGTTACAGAATTCGATGGTCGGAAAAGAAGCAGGAGCAGGAAAGCGATTCACTTGCGGGGAGCTCGACCACGGATGTCAGGCCAGAAGCTTGGTCACCACTTGTATGAGGGGAAAGTTGGAGCTTGTGGAACAGTCACGCAGTTGAATTGGGGATGGCTACCGGTGTGGGCTGACTCCGCTGGTTGATTCAAGTATCGAGGCAAGCTCTCAATATCGAAAAAGAATCGAAAGACTGGTCGAGTGGTCGGTGAGTGAGGAAAATGAGGCGACTGTTGGGCACTTGAGGTCATCCGACAACAAACACGACCGGCAATTTGGCTCCACCGCCCGACTTCGCTGGCTCCGGCTCCCGCATGCCGCCATATCTTTCTATCGATAAGGGACGAGCCATAAACTGCAGCTCAATTTCTAGCTGGATGCGAACTTGAATTCTCGGATATTGACAGCTTCAACCGGGAGAAAACACTTACGCACCGTCACTCAATGACAATGGTTGTGTAACTGATCCAAACACCCTGATCTCTGACCTAGGAGACAACGGGGATGCACCCTATCAAGCCTAGGTAATGCTCGATAACGTTGTCCTGCGATCCACAATTAGGACGAATCACATACCGCCAATGCAGTACATACCCCATGGTCCCTGGCCATTGTTGTCGGCCTTGCATCTGTCTCCTGGATTTCTCGCTTTCACTAAGACATGGAAAGAGAGAAATTTTGCAGTTTTCCATGCTCATCAACCTATCGAATTGTGATCATCACAGCACAGTCATGACGTCAGCCGGATTGAATCCTCAGGGAGCGGAAAGCGGAAGGGCGATGAGGCAGCAAGGCCCCAAGGCTATAAGGCCAAAACCTGGCCCCGCCCGTGACGGCACGAATGCCTGAGGTGGATGATGTCTTCTATTATTAAGACTCCGACTCCAGAATAGGGCTCGATGGGTCGTACTACCTACTGATCCGGCCCCAAGGCAGCCACGCTTCATCTGGGTTGCCCTCTCGTGCAAAGATTTTTTTGACACTTTTTATCTCTTCCTCTTTCCACCATTCTCCGGGAAGTCTTAAGTCTTATAGCCCTTTCATTTTTCCCTTTCTTTGCTGCGGCCGGCCGCTCTCCTTCGTGCTGCTCATCCGGAGGTCGCGTGAAGCTTCCCCGCCCCGCAATCCGACTGCTGCTCAGCTACCGATAAATCGATCCCCTCACCCCTGAGAGTAACCGCTACAATTCTACCATCGGAAAACTCAATCATTAGAGCGGTCAGACTTTGCAAGTGCGCCAGCCCATCATGTTTGGTATCATTGCAGATTTGTTATCGTAAGTCCTCGTCATTCCCCCACCGCTCCTCCTCTCACTCCGCAGTTCCGGAGATCCCCCTCTCTCCAGATGATGGTAGCTCAGATGCTAACCCTCACATGAAAACAGATCGGTCATCACGATTCTCTTCCCTATCTTTGCCTCGTATAAAGCTCTGCGCTCTTCCGACCCCTCTCAACTGGCACCATGGCTGATGTACTGGGTGGTTTTGTCCGCTGTGCTGATGGCTGAGTCCTGGACAGTCTTTATCCTCGGATGGTTCGTAGCTGGAAATTATAGCTATTTTGGCCTCACGCTGATGGATATGATGCAGGGTGCCATTTTACAGCTGGATCCGCCTCTTTTTCTTCTCCTACCTTGTCCTCCCCCAGACCCAGGGCGCAATTATCTTGTACCAGGAACATGTCGATCCTTTCCTTGCCCACCACGAGCGAGAGATTGAGGAATTCATCGGGCGTAGCCACGAGCGTGCCAAGGCTCTGGGGCTGCATTATTTCTACCAAGCCGTGGATTACGTCCGGGAGAACATCCTCGGCTGGCCGGCTCAGCGTCCGGCGGCTCCTCCTCCCCCGCCCCCAACTGGACCTGCTGCCTACGCGCAGTCGCTTCTCTCGCGATTCAACATCCCCACCGCTCCTGCATCTGGAGGGCCAGCGGCCCCGTCCGCCCCCGCTGCCGCCGGCGCTCAAGATTGGTTCTCCACCATCAGTTCCGCCGTGGCAGCCGTGACCTCGGCCGGCAAGACCCCCGAAGCCCGTGGCGAGGAACTGTCTGCCAGCGGCAATCTGCTGCCCCGTGACATCGCCTCCATGTCCCGCGCCGATAAGGCGCAGTACATCTCCCATCAGCGCGACCTGCTGGAGGTGCTGCGCAGCGCGCTGGCGAAGGAGGAGCGTGAGCTGCACGGCAGCGAGACGGAGACGGACGATCTCGCGTACGGCGGTGCCCCGTTGCATAAGAACCCGAGCGAAAACTCGTTCCACCACGTGGAGCACGAGGACCTCCACAGGAGCTCTCCGGATCTGTCCGGCCGGACGGCCAGCGGTACCTGGTCTTCGGGGTGGTTCAACGGCGAATCGACTGATATGCGCAACCGCCATCATTAAAAGATAGGATCCAGCGAGTGGTCCTTGTTCTTCCTTGATATTTTTTTTCTTTGTTTTTGGGTGTTATGCCGTGCTCTTTCCCTCCTGGAACGGTTCGGGGATATTCAAACAAATAGAATTGAATTCGGTTATCCTTATCAATAGAGCTTCCAGTCCAGGCGTAGGGTTGACTGTCGTCGGAAACAGAGGATAAGACGCGACGACCATGTCACGGGAACTACTGGTGCTTTGTCCTTGTCAGGTGCCCCGGGAAATGCAGCCTTAGTGCCGTAGGCGAGGGGTTCAGTGGGTTCGCCCAGGCTTAGTTGCTCCTTGCCATCCTTCGTGTCACTGCAAACTCATGTCTGATACCAACCGACAACCATGCTCGGTCCCTTTTCTTAGTGTCATGTAGGCATAGGCATCATAATGCCATGTATAATGGAAGGATGGGAAAGCTTATCTTGTGACTACTGCCGCCCCCAACGGGTGCATAGCCGCGGGGTGATTTATTTATTTATCCATGCAAAACTGCTCTGAGGTAAGAGTAGTCAAGGATGCGATGGCCCTCGAATCAGGTCGTCTTTCGATCTCAATTCTCGGGGGCTGGAGGGCGCCCTTCACGACGAATTTCTTGAAGTGCTTTTGTGCTGGTTCTGAGAAGAGATCAGTGGGCGAAAGTCGATCTTTCCTGTGCTGATTCGCCTCAGCTATCTTATTTTATTTTGATCGAACTTTTTTTTTCCCCCTGATTTACTCGGAAGAATGGGACGGTGCAAACCAAGGCGGAAAGAATGCGTGGTTGGGGCTGAAGGTGGGCTGCAGTGCGAAGAATGTTACCTTGTGTTTTCTGGAAGCTCGGTCCACTATACAGTAAATATATATCGGCAGTGTTGAAGAGGTCGACCACGAGTAGTAAACTGGACGTAATCAATGTTGGGAACTTAAATCGCCACATCTCGGCAACATTGTGAAAGATTGCAAACGAAGAAACTTCTGAAGGTATCTAGAGATGAAGGACCTAAGGGAGTATGAGGATTGTCCCAGAGACAGTGCGGAGTTACTACAGGTGCTCAAGCTGAGGACACCCACCCATTGGGGCGATATCTTCAAGGGCTTCGGGTGTTTTGTGGTCCGTGGTCTGCAGGGCATGCAGAACAGCCTCCCCCCTAAGTAAGTAAGGAAGCAAAATCCACGAACAAATAGTCTATGGTAGTGTCGGCCCAACTAAGGCGTCGCGTCGGCTGGCCGATGTCAAGTTCAGACGTGGCCGATCAGATCAAACAGATGCAAATGCATTATTTTCTGGGGGGGTTGGTGATCGTCCAGCTAGCGAGGGTCGAATCAGCTGCTCGGGATTATGGGGACTATAAATAAATTTGCGGTGTCAATTGGGGAGAATCGTCTACGATGGATGAGGACCTGACTTGGGAGTCAGAGTCGGTCTGTGGTTTTGTCTACGGTGTGGCAGAGATGAGGAGAAATATGTTGATGGGCTACAGAGCGAGGGATGTGTGCGTTGTGTGTGTATGTGTGTGGATGTGGATGTGTCTTCGATCTTTCTATCTACTGCGGCGGCGCCCTGGAATGCTCGGATCGTTTTTAACGTGGTGATGGTTTGTTGACCGGGCGATCGGAATTGCATTATTGGTTTGGATGATCGGACCTCTCTCTTTCTTTTGTTGCTGGCTGCTGCCCTGCAGTACTCGGTGAGATTCGGGTTCTTGCTTTTGGTATATGTGTGTGTGTGGGTGGGGGGGGATTATTGTAGGGGTAGTCATCGAAGTCTTCTTTTCAGCAGAAAATAGATCAAGCCAAGGCTTGAGAATCATAGCATGAATAACGAGGTAACACAACAATAAGCAGACAAGCACACTACCAGGTCAAAGGAAGGCGAAGAGGATGAATGATGAGGTTGGTTAGATACGGTATCATCATGTGAAGGTGCTGGTTTGGTAGCGGTAATGTGTGGCAAACGAGCGGGTGTAATCAATCATAACGTATCTTGGCCTCAGGTGTCAATTCTCATGACGATGATTTCATGGTCGCCCAAACGTCATGCGCCAGGAGGCCAAAAAACCGATTTGTGGGAATGATGTTACCAAACAGGCAAAGCAGTTGCCGCACGAAACGAGGCCACTGGACAGGCTAAACGCCTGACATGACTCATTGCTATATAAGCTGATGATGATTATGATGATGTTGCTGGATGCTCAGAGATCTGAATGGTCAGCTCCCGGGATAGTAACTACTTAGTAGATACCCTGACTCTATGGCCAGGCCGCTAGGATGATAGCGACTTTGAATGGAATGGAGCAAGGCAGCGCGCTGTCTGGTCTGAAAACCGACGATTCAAAACCACCAATAATGACACTGGCCCAGCTACCTTTCCTACTAGTTCAAGGTTAGTTCTCAACAGCCACCTTGGCTCGGTGTGTTTGCCGCTTCCACCCGACAATGGCGGATCTTCCGCAGTGGTCAATGACTGGAGATGTCAAGAAAAGCTAGCTGTGCGCAGTCTCATCTGCTGGGGAAAAGAGTCACCAGGAAATCTTTCCTACCGCCAGATGGGGCAGAATGACCTGCCACAAGCCTTGGAACTGATCTGTTGAGTCTGAAATGGGTCTAATCGATCAATTTGAATACTTTCTGTTGTGTATGTGTGTATGTGCGTGTGTGATAGCGATAGAACGGAGAAGAGCAGCTTTCTAAAGCCGGGAACAATGTTTGGTGTGGATCGGTCGGATACAAAGAACAATACGGTATGGTCACACCTGATACCAACCACAACCCAGCCCAGCCTCAACCCAGCAAAAATTGTGAAAACCACTGTGCAGAAAAAAAATCATCCACCACCACCACCCAATTTTATCCACGCCAAAAAGGCGAAAATAAAAAAAAGAAGAAAGATCGAGAGTGTAAGAGAGTTGAGCAGTAAAGAACAATAGGGTCAAAAAGGTTGATATTATTTCTATCTCTCCTTCAAATCATCTTTCTCTTTTTTCTTTCCCCTTTTCTTCTACCCCAGACTTATCGTCGTTGACCACGACGTGATTAATTTCCTTGTTCCGTGGTCTTCGTTTTTTTTCTCTCTTCCTTCCCTTCCTCTTTTCGTCGTCCTTCCCTGACACGAAAAAAACACCACTCCCCTCCCCTCCCCTCTACCACTACCCTTCTCTCACACCCACCTCCTCCTCCCCCCTCCTCTCCCATTTTGTGTGAGGACTTTTTTTTTGTGGATGTTGTGGTTCTAGAGCGTGTACCTTGTTTGTTGTAACACGCCCTTTGACACTTCCCTCTCCCATCTTTCCCCTCTCTTCAATTTTTCTTATTGAAGATTTCTCATCCTCTCCTCTCTACTGTTGCAGGTCCCTCTTCTCCTCCCGAACGGACTTGCTTCTCGAACGACGTCAAGTCAATCGTCAACTCAAAACTAAAAAGCGCTTGAATCCTTTTTACCTCGCATTACCTGTCTAATGAGCTCGATCCCTCCCAAGTCAGGCCTCCAACCTCAAGGACAGAGCACCTCGACCCAGGCCGCCTCCTCTCCCGCACAATCTGCCTCGCCGTCGACGGCGCCTCGTTCCTACGCCAGCGCCACCAAGAAGTCCGCGACGGACTCGACCGCCGCTCCCGTCACTGTGGGCGGCTCGTCGCAACATGGGAAGTCGACCTCAGCATCTCCTGTGAGCGGCAAACCCATGCAGCAATCCCAAACCCCCGGCGTCACCATCGTCAATGGCGCCCCGGCTCCTCAAAGCGATCATTCCCGCAAGCCTTCGGTGACCATCACCTCTGCTGGCACCTCCGGATATATTCCCAACGGCGGCCAGACCGGTCGTCCCAACAGTCTGCAGTTCGGCTTCGCCAACCAGCAGTCCTCGCCTAGCATGGGCAATCCCGCGTCTTTGGCTACTCAGCCTCAGGCCGGTCTTGGTGTCACTCCGCCCGCCAACCCCCGTGTGACTTCCCCCCAGACTTCGCCTTCCCCTATCCCTCAACCCGCTTCCAGCGGTGGCCGGCCACCGCCGTCGACCTACCAGGCGCAGGGTAACGTTCCCAACTTTGGCAGCTTTGGCGATGCTGGCGATAGCGTAAGTGGACCCCTTCTATTTGTTGCACAGTTTGCCCGGATCGCACTATGTGATTTTGCCCTACATTATCTACGAAGAATCCCTTGGGTGTCCAACTCCATGGGGCAAAGCCAAGAAGGAGGCGGCAAAATACTGTAGGGCGATTCAGAGGGAGATGGATGGGAAGCAAAATTTTTTGCAAGGGCGCGCACGTTTCCTGTCTTGGCATACCTCGATCTACCCACACCTGAGATATGCTGGTATTAATCTTTGTCTTGCGCTAGCAACAGATGCGCGCGGCTCCACAGGCACCCCTTGGCCCCGGTCCTCAGTCGACCCACCTCCGTCGCGAATCTTCCCAATCGACTCACAGCGATATGAGCAGTCACATGGGTAGTGTTCCCGGCCGTGGCGGTTACCCCCATCAGGGCGGTCGCGGCCGTGGTTATTCTCAGTCGAGCTATCAGGGTCAAGTTCCTTACTCTCCAGGTCCCAACTTCCGCACCACTCCCAACCAGGCCCGCGGCGCTCCCAACATGGGCCCTCAGTTCCACGCCCCCAACCAAGGTCGCCCCCTCGCACCTTTCCCCAACTCTCCTCACCAAGCGAGCCGCAGCCCCGCCCTTGCAAACGCGCATCCTGCGACTCCCCAGATGAACCAGGTTCCCATGGCACACGCGCAGATGCCCCCGCAGGCGTACGGTTATGGACAACCGATGGGACCCCAAACTGTGAGACCTCCCCATAATAAACCCTTCCGACGTGGATATGGAACCCGAAGAAAAGGATCATACCGCCGACCATCACTTTCACCCATCTACGCTGCAACTGCTAAAGCCCCCCTTCCACCAATCCCACCCATCAATTTAGCGCCAGAAAGCGGGAATTTTGAGCAATATCTAACGTTGATGAAAACCAACCAGGCCTACCCCGGCTACGACCCCGCTGCTTACGGCTACTACCCCCAAGGCTACATGGGTGGTGTCCAGTATATGACTCCCCCGTCCCCGCAACCACGCCCCGGAATGCCGTTCAACCCCCAGGCTCCGTACATGCAGAACCAGTACCCTGTTCAGCCTCCCGCCCAAGCCACCTCCCTCTCTCGTACGCCCTCGCAGATGTCTAATGACCGCCCTGGATCTAGCCTTGGCCAGGGCCAGCCCCCTGCTGGTCCTCCCGGCCCTGGCCATGCTCACACCGGAAGCCGCACGTCGAACAGCCCCGCTCCCGCAAAGACGCCGTTCGTCATTCCTGCCAAGAAGAGCCCGATCATCATCAAGGATCCCGGTAGCGGCGTGGTAAAGACGTTTGAAAAGGCTCCTGCCTCCCCAGCTCGTATCACCCCGTCCCCTGTTAAGATTGCGACTCCCACTTCGACTCCTCCCCCTCGCACCGGCAGCAGCGCCGACCACACTCGCACCGAGTCCAAGTCTACTAAGACGGACGAGGAGAAGAAGAAGGAGTTGAAGGACGCTGTCCGCCAGAAGATCGAACAGGAAGAGGCTGAGCAGCGCCGCAAGGCCGAGGAGGAGGCCGCCGCTGCCCAGCGCAAGAAGGACGAGGAGGAGGCCGCCGCTGCCCAGCGCAAGAAGGATGAGGAGGAGGCTGCTCGCCAACAGGAGGAAGAAGAGGCCGCTCGTAAGCAGCAGGAGGAGGAAGAGGCTGCCAAGAAGGCTGCTGATGAGGAGGCCGCCCGCAAGAAGCTTGAGGAGTTGAGCTTGAAGGACAAGCCAGAGGAGACCAAGGCGGAAGAGCCCGTTAAGCCTGCTGAGTCCGCTCCTGCTCCCGCGCCCGCTCCTGCTGATGACGATGACATCGACTACGATGCCATTGAGCGCGAGATGGCCGAAATCGAGGCCAAGGAGCGCGAGGCTGAGGCTGCCTACTACGCCAAGAAGCAAGCCGAGAAGGAGGCGAAGGAGCGCAAGGAGAAGGAGGAGCGCGAGGCGTGGGAAGCCAACATGAAGCAGGCTGAGCGTGAGGCCGAGGCTCTTGAGGAAGCCAAGGCCAAGAACCGTGAAGCCGGCGCTGTCACCGACGAGGATCAAAAGAAGAAGGACCTTTTCGCCTCGTTGAAGAAGGGTGGTTTCTCTGCAACCGAGACTAGCACCGAGAGCGGCACCGCTACGCCCGCCTCTGATATGGGTCCTCCTGCCAGGCCCGCCAGTGCTCTCAAGCAGAAGCCTGCTGCTCTCAAGCTGGAGACCAGCAAGGCGGTTGAGCCTCCTCAGCCCAGCGCTGCCATGAAGTCCCTGCACTCGGCTCGCCTGATCGATGATCTCAGCAAGATCACTTACCCCGAGTCCATTGCTTCTCCCAACCCGGCCCTGAATGCCAACGCTCCTACCGATCGCAAGTTCCACTACAACAAGGAGTTCTTGCTTCAGTTCCAGAATGTGTTCAAGGAGAAGCCCTCGATTGATTGGGACTTGCGCGTGCGTGAGACCGTCGGTGACAGTGACTCGTCACGTCCCCAGTCGGCCCGCACCCCGATGGCCAGCGGCCGACAGAGCTCTCGCCCCGGCATCGGTCAGGGCTTCCCCGGAATGGGCAATTTCGGCCAGCCCGGCAACCGCAACAGCCTGCCCCCAGGCACTACTTCCGAGCAGCGCTTTGCTATGTCTCGCCAAGCCTCCGCTGTTGGCAATCCCTTCGGCTCCTTTGGTCGCGGTCTGAGCGTTGGTGGCGCCATTGGGCGCACCAACTCTAGCCCTATGCACCCTGGCATGCCCTCGCCTCGCCCCGGCTCTGGCCGCTCCGGTACTCGCAACAGCAGCAAGCGCGACAAGCAGCATGCCAAGAAGGAGGAGGACATGGCCAAGTCCATGCCTCTCACCGCTGGCAAGGAGGTCGAGGCCCTCCAGGTCTCCACCACTGGATGGAAGCCCCGCAGTGTCGGTCAGACTACCACTGCTGGTCCTACTCCTGCTGGCTCGACTCACATGCCTCCTGATGTGGTGCAGCGTAAGGTGAAGGCTGCCTTGAACAAGATGACGCCCGAGAACTTCGACCGTATCTCTGGACAGATCTTGGAGATTGTCTCCCAATCCAAGGACGAATCGGATGGACGCACCCTGCGCCAGGTCATCCAGCTTACTTTCGAGAAGGCTACTGACGAGGCCCACTGGGCTTCCATCTACGCCAAGTTCTGCAAGAGTATGCTGGAGAGCATGAGCCCCGAGATCAAGGACGAGAACATCCACGACAAGAACGGCAACGTCGTCGCTGGTGGCAGTCTGTTCCGCAAGTACCTCCTCAACCGTTGTCAAGAGGAGTTCGAGCGTGGTTGGAAGGTCAACCTGCCTCCTAAGCCCGAGGGCCAGACGGAGGAAGCTGCTATGATGTCTGATGAGTACTATAAGGCCGCTGCTGCCAAGCGTCGTGGTCTTGGTCTCGTCAAGTTCATTGGTGAGCTGTACAAGCTGGGCATGTTGACTGAACGTATCATGCACGAGTGTGTGAAGAAGCTTGTCGATTATGAGGGTATGCCCGATGAGGCCGAGGTTGAGAGTTTGACCAGCCTCCTGCGCACCATCGGTGCTAGCCTCGATGCCTCGGAGCGTGGACACGCGATGATGGATGCTTACTTCCACCGCATCAGCCTTATGATGCAGACTCCTGACTTGCCCAGCAGATTGCGCTTCATGTTGATGGTACGTTGACGAGTGCCTGCTATTGTTACAGCTTGACTAACTTCCATGCTAGGATATCATCGACCTGCGTAATGCCCGCTGGCACTCCAAGGATGCCGATAAGGGACCCAAAACTATCCAGCAGATCCGTGAAGAGGTGAGTCCTACAGCCCCTCCATTTTTTTTCTCTCAAACTCCAGCTAATTATCCCACTAGGCTGCTCGCGCACAACAAGAGGCCGAGATGGAGCGTCTTCGCCAGCAGGCCAACCGCGGCAGCCGCCCGGGACTGGGTCGTGGTGATGCCCGCAGCTACAGCAACTACGGCAACCAAGCTCCTCCCCAGGACTTTGCCTCGAGCAAGGTCGGCAGTGACGATCTCCGCCGTCTGCGGACGACCCGCAACACCAACCAGCCGATGTCTTTCGGACCCTCTAGCATGCTGGGATCTCGCAGCAACAGCGGACGGAAGAACCTTGGCCCTGGTGGCAACCTGGTTCGTGGTAGTGATGATAGTGCTGCTAGCAGCCGGACCGGCACTCCCCCTGTCGGCAAGAAGGAGGAAGTTACTTCGATTAACGCTTTCAGGTGAGTGGTCATTTAGAATTATTGGCTAGTTGATACTAACGAAGTGTGCAGTGCTTTGGCTGCCTTGGAAGACCGGGACAACATGGCCACCTCCCCGCCATCGAACCCTACCTCCCCTCTGCTGACCAAGTCGCAACCCGCGGTTGAGCGCCGACCCTCCAAGACTCCCTCTACTGCCGGCGAGGAAGCCTCATAGATATCCCTTGCAATGACAATACAAAAATGATTTCGTTCTTCTGGAAAGATTTCTTTGTTTACTGTTCCGCTTTTGACACTTCGTCACGACATGTCTGTGATCTGTTATGAACATTCATCCTAATCTTCTCGTCCATGATTTTTCTTTTCGCCAGCAAGATCGGTCGCTCATCTAACTTCCATCTGAAAGATAGAGTGGGGGGCTTGTCGACATTCCCTTGTACAGATGATGATATGAACCGTGGACCCAGCATCAATGGAAGAAGTGAGGTGGGGAGACGGGTTCTCATGAAACGAATCTAGGGAGATTGGTTGGTTTCGCTGGAGGGTTTGAAGAGCCTTTCTCTTTGTTTTTGCATTCATACGTCTTTTTTCTTTTCCTTTTTCTTATTTTTCCAATACCCGGAGAGCTTTGACGATGTCCTTCCCTTGCTACGGATGTTTCTACCAGGGCGGGAAACTTGCAGGCTAGCCACGACGTCGATTGCCTATGTCATAAGAGAAGAGAGAGCTAGGTGTCGTATGGACTCTTTTCTTTTTCGATTTGTGTCTGCATTGCATTTACTGGCATGTGGCCGTGCCTGTTGTTTTTCGATTAGACAAAATCTGTTAGAAAAAGTTTCTGCTTTGATTCTAAATGTGATAATCGTATGATTATGATTGTGTATTCGGTGTGCTTGTTCGGTATGTCATCGGAGGGTGTTTCCTCAGTATTATTACTCAGTATCATTTCTAAGAGTTTTTTATTTGATTGAGATTCATAAGGTATCTAAAAGGTCCCGATTGAATTCTATTTGATGTATTGTGATTGAGCGGCGAGGAAAACCGATGTGATCACTTGAGTTGAGCCTGTTTGGAAACCCCCCTCACCGGCTGTAAAGCCGATTTCTGGGGTATACTTCAGCCATGCAGCCTGTAATCTTCAGCCCTCCACCAAAATGTCAACCACGACACCTCTACCAACGTGGGGTTATCCGGATAATCCTTCCTACCAACTTTGCCAATTCGGCTGAAACCCGGCTATTCAACAACATCACGGTGCGTTCCTGAAACGCCAAATGATTTCGTGTCAGACTCTAACGCCTTCCGTTACGGGGCCCAGCCCGGGAATGTCGATCTCTAGCCCTCACCTGCTGTCTATCCCTGACAATTCATGGCTCTTCCAATTCACGGAGACATCCCCCGCCTCCTCCGATCGACTTGGCCTACAGAGGCAGAAATGGAGTTTGTCGCGGATCGATTTCAGGTTGATTGTGTACAAGGTCTGGATTTAGCCGTGAAAGGCTTATATATACACACACCTTCAGAGATGCAGAGAACGACCACCCACCTCTTCACCATTATCTCCTTGCATCGAGACCAAGTTATAACGTTGAATGATGCTTTGCCTCTCACTTCTGCTCACCTGCGTGCTGTGCGCACTGTCATGCAGGGCCGGTGTTTTAGGGAACCGGGACTCGGTAGTCTACCCTCGAGCCGGCTCCCTACAGCAGGTGACCAACTTCGGTAGCAACCCTACCAACGTGGGCATGTACATCTACGTGCCCACGAATCTAGCCACCAAGCCCGGCATCATTGTTGCCATCCATTACTGTCTGTGCCTTCCTCCGTTTTGTCTCAGTCCCCGTCCCCACCCTTTTCCAGACGGCAAGCCTAACTTCAGGGGCATTAGGCACCGGCACGGCATCCGCGTACTACAGCGGCTCGCCCTACGCGACCCTGGCCGAGCAATACGGCTTCATCGTCATCTACCCGCAGAGCCCGTACTCGGGCACCTGCTGGGACGTCAGCTCGCCGGCGACCCTCACCCACAACGGCGGGGGCAACAGCAACTCCATCGCCAACATGGTCATTTGGACGATCGCGAAGTACAACGCGGACACCAGCAAGGTGTTTGTGACGGGGTCGAGTTCCGGCGCCATGATGACGGTATGTCTTTGCCTCAATATCCCATACACAAACTCCGTGTTATCCCCCCCTCCTCCTCCTCCTCCTCCTCCTCCTCCTCCTCCTCCCCCCGCCACCCACCGCAAGACCAACACTAATGATAATGACGATGATAAAGAACGTAATGGCAGCCACCTACCCCAACCTCTTCGCCGCCGCAACAGTCTACTCCGGCGTGCCCGCCGGCTGCTTCTACAGCGCCACTCACCAAGTCGACGCGTGGAACAGCACCTGCGCCCTGGGCGAGTCGATCACCACCCCGGCGCACTGGGCCAGCATCGCCGAGGCCATGGACCCCGGGTACGCCGGTGCCCGCCCCCGCATGCAGATCTACCACGGCAGCGTCGACACCACCCTCTACCCGCAGAACTACTACGAGACCGTCAAGCAGTGGGCTGGTGTGTGGGGGTATAACTACGATGCGCCCCAGGCGACGGAGGCGAGTGTCCCCGAGGCGAATTATGAGACGACGGTGTGGGGACCGGGGTTGCAGGGGATCTTTGCTACTGGGGTGGGCCATACGGTGCCGATTCATGGGGAGAGGGATATGGTGTGGTTTGGGTTTGCTTGATTTTTCTTGGTGTTTGGCTTTTAGGTGGTTGGGATATTGGTGTAGGTTTGGTGGGTGGGAATATTTGCGCTGCTTGAAGACGAAGGAGGGTTTGATGCTTTGATGGTTGTGTGCTGATTGAGCCTTGGAATGAGGAAGCAAATCTGGGTGTTGTTGTGCTAGCGGCAAAAATGTTCTTGAATATATAGTTGTTCTGCTAGAGCGTAAGCATATAACTGTTTCTACCAAGAGAAAGGAAAAGAGAAGACGTTGCTTGGGAGGAAGGGAAGTATGAAGAGCAGGGAAAGTAGGGAAAGCAGTAAGGTAACAAGTGTAGTATGATGTGTTTATATACCCCCAAATCCCGGAGTTGCCATTGTCCATTGTGCTTGGAAAGTTCCCAAGACCTCCTATCGTTAATCGTAAACAATTCTAGAACTTCCCTAGCACTCAACTGTCTGCCCGCAATCGACCTGAAACTCAACCAGCCCGAAATAGTAATGTGTCGGGGGTAGGACCCCTTAATGCCGAGTGCTGACTGGTTCGTAGGGCCGATGTTCGGAGATACTAGTGCTGGTTTTGGGTGGCGTGTGGGGAATGTGGTACGTATACCCGGCCGTTTATGCTACAACTGCTTCACCCTTACCCAGTTTCGCAATCATGCCTGCTACGTAGAAGTCATTCTTCTTCAAGCCTGGAGGAGCTTGTGGCGTGTTTTACCTAGATTCCTGTTCGCTGGATGGTTAGCATGCGTTGATGACCATCAGAACAGCCGACGTTAAGCCGAAAGTGATCCACGCATCTGGCGTGCTTGGATAAATCCCTGCATCACATTACCCTCTGTATTGAGTAGGTATAACTGAGTTTTTATTATTTTCAATCAGATTCGAAACTCTCTCAGTGGAGAGGGTTATCTTTGAGACAAGATCAACGGTGGAGAGACCAACGAGCCAACGTGATTGGGGCAGAGCACAATCAAGCAATCTCCAAGCTTTGCGTGGGGTCAGGAATGGGAGGGAGCTTTCTCTGGGCATGAAGTTGATATCCCTCGAACCGGTCTACCACTTAGCGAGTACCTTGGTACTGAGTGAATTGTTCCGATGAAGCCGTGATGGCCGTTTGATTGATTCATCTCGCAGTGGAATGTTCGGTGACTTGATACTATACGGCCACGGCACCCAGGTAATTTGCTGGCTTGTATGCATAAGAAGCAGTATTATATCTCTCGACGCGTCTGCTCGAACTCGTCGATTTGGTATCGATTGCGGACCTCGAGACGAGAGCATCTGTGGTCTGGCCGGCAAGCCGGGATGGGTCGAGAGCCACCGTTTTCCCCTGCACCGTTCCTGCATTATTTCCAGGGTCCTAACTTTAACTGGAAATTTCATCATGAAAGGGCTGCAGCTGACCTGTCATTGGACCGGGGGTGTGGGAAAATCAGCCAGGAGTTCTCCAGCGGCAAGTCAAATGAATCCCGATGGGTCAGGATGGTGCTCCCTATGACAGCTCTCATTGGCGTGCCTTTCTTCAAGGCGCGAGTAAATTGCTCCCTGTTGACAAATGCCGAACGAAATGAAATCGATATTGCTTTCGCTACGGGTGGCTCTTGAGAATATTGATCAGTGGAGAAATCAGACCTCGTAATCGGCATGGATCAGCGGAGCTATTCGTCCTCGGGGGTCTAAATTGCCGACATCAATCTATCATTGCTATAGGAAGTTTCGAACGGATTGTGTAGGACTTGTCTAGCCTCCGTTGCCGAGGCTCGCTTTGGAAGAGGGTCCTGCGACGGAAATTGCTGGGATGTTTCGTGATTGCTTCGCCAAAAGCTTCGATGAGGAAAAGCACCTTCCCCTGATTGTTTTCCAGTGCGGTGGGTCGAACGGGAAGTACAGAACTCTGGTCGGTTTCCGGTGCTTCGCTTGTGGCTGCCGGATCATCATAGTCATCTCTCTCCCGTCATGAACACGCGAGGATCAGTGACTAGTGGCTTTCCTTTCCCCCTCTCTCTCTCTCTCCCGTCAACCGGCAACATTTGCATAGCTGACACGGTTTCCTTCAGATCAGAAGTAGTCGGATCGAGTGGCTGCATTTGATGAAGCTGACGCATAGGGATGGCCGATGCCCCCACGACTAAAAGCCAAGTTCGATTAAGAAAATGCCGCGTTGGCCCACTCGACTTAGCGTTCTGAGTTGGGACTAGCCCGTTACAGATTGATAGCCCTCGCCGGGTTGCACTTGGGGAACCTTCAGGGACGAAATGGATAACCTCAGAAAGAAGTTCTTGCAACTTATAAAAGGGCTCCGTCGCCCTGCTGTCTCGGCTGTTTTCTTCATCCAAGCCAATCATTCCTTCATTCTTCTCTTTGTCACTCTCTCGTTATCTCCGTTCTGTAGATCAGAACAGTCTCTCTTTGAACTTACTCTGTTGATCAGATAAGAATCGTCTCACCATGCCTTCCATCCAGTCTTCCCTGCTTTGCGTTGCCACCCTGGCCACTGCCTTGGTGTCTGCTGCCCCTGCCACCCGTGCCTCGGACTTTGCCAAGCGCTCCACCTGCACCTTCACCTCGGCTGCTCAGGCCTCCGAGAGTAAGACTTCCTGCACGGACATCGTTCTCAAGGACATCACCGTCCCTGCTGGTGAGACTCTCAACCTCAAGGACCTGAAGAGCGGTACCACCGTAAGTTCCTGCCTCAACCCCAGTACCCCTCGATTGCACACCTTCCAGTATGCTTCCCATCGAACCGCATACTGACAAATCCATGTCCAATCCAGGTCACCTTCGAGGGCACCACTACCTGGGAGTACGAGGAGTGGGATGGACCCCTCCTGTACATCTCCGGCAAGGACATCACCGTCACCCAGTCTTCCGGAGCGGTCCTCAACGGCAACGGTGCCAAGTGGTGGGACGGCGAAGGCACCAACGGCGGCAAGACCAAGCCCAAGTTCTTCTACGCCCACTCCCTGGACAACTCGGTTATCAAGGGCCTGCAGATCAAGAACACCCCCGTCCAGGCCATCTCCATCGAGTCGGACTACCTTACCATTGAGGACGTGACCATCGACAACAGCGACGGTGACGACAACGGCGGCCACAACACTGACGGTTTCGACATCAGCGAGAGTACCTACATCACCATCACCGGTGCCACCGTCAAGAACCAGGACGACTGTGTCGCTATTAACTCGGGCGAGGTATGTGCTTCCCACAGATGGCGTTGGAAAGAGGATCTCAAGCCACAACGGACTCCGACCAATCCAATTGACCGCTGATACTAATCCTTTTCTCTCCGCAGAACATCTACTTCTCCGGCGGTACTTGCTCCGGCGGCCACGGTCTCTCCATCGGCTCCGTCGGCGGCCGCGACGACAACACCGTCAAGAACGTCACCTTCATCGACTCGACCGTCACCGACTCCGAGAACGGTGTCCGCATCAAGACCGTCTACGACGCCACCGGTGAGGTCGAGGACATCACCTTCTCCAACATCAAGATCTCCGACATCACCGACTATGGTATCGTCATCGAGCAGGACTACGAGAACGGCAGCCCCACCGGTACCCCCACCAACGGCGTCACGATCTCCGGCGTCAAGATGGAGAAGGTTACCGGTAGCGTTGAGAGCGATGCCACCGAGATCTACATCCTCTGCGGTGACGGCAGCTGCACTGACTTCACCTGGAGCGGCGTTGATGTCACCGGTGGAAAGACCAGCAGCAAGTGCGAGAACTTGCCCTCCGGTGTGTCTTGCTAGATTTGATGCGACGACAGTGGAAGGATCGTGGGTTCAGAGACGGGCTGGCCGGAAAGAGTTGTTTTAATCTTCTTCTTATCTATAATTTCTAAAACAGTCGGCTGTATTAGGGTGGTTTACCTTGGTTCAGGTCCGCAATACATATCTTGTCTTGGATGATGCTGGTGTTTGCAATACTATTTCGCTCATCGGGCTTAATCTTGCTAGGCTCGTGGAGTAGATAATCATCAACCTACACAGCTCAAGTAGGTCAAATGATAGTTGTCGAAGGGATTATGAATTTCTGCCTCAGGCAACAGCACCCACCCCTCTTTCTGAAGATTGAAGGAGGTCTCCCGACTGCAACCTCACTTTATAACCTGAGAGCCTGATGCTCGAGTGGGAAGCCACACAACCAATTCCTTGGTCGCACCTACACCTGACAGGTCTGAAAATGGCGCAGACACGCATATGCCACCGACTTTCTCACCGATTCGGCCCCTGGTTCCTGCAACAGCTACACCAGCCCTGGAACCCCAAGCAAGTTTTGTCTACAGTTCGAGGAATGACTTCCGGCCAATTGTGAGACACTGATCCAGTTTCTTCACGCTGAAGAAGAAACCCAAAGAAGATTTTTAAAGTTAGCCAACCTATGGACCGTGCGTCAGTGGTTGCGTGCCCAGCTTCAAATCACTATGAGCGATTAATTCCGACCAATTTTTTTGCAAGAGGGGATCCTCATTGAATCTGCATGCTGTTTCCTCCCGGCTTCCTGCGCGTGCAACCTCACACTGGGATGACAAAATCTGCAAGCTCCCTTCCCCCCCCCACCCTTGGAAGATAACCACTTCCCCAGGAATTCGACGGTAGATGTCAAAAGCAGTCAGCTATAAAGTGTGGGACTGGCCCAAGCTTGAATGGGAGCAAGTAAAGCTACCTAGCTTTTTGATACCTTATTCTTTCTCTGTTGTAGCAGGAATCATCACAGTCGATCCGATCATCCAATATCCAGCATGCATTTGTGTGAGGCATTTGTGGGCTCTTGCTAGCCACTCCCTCCCCCCAAATCTACGCAAGGAGACGAGAGCCTTTTTCGTCGACCTATTTAATTCCCCGTGCCTTTTGGGAAGGACAGCTCTTTCACCTCCTTTTGGCTCCGCCATACCTTTTTCCTTTTCCCATCGACGACAAATACCGGGCTTCTTCATCGGCTTATAGAACATTCCCAAACCGCATGCCTCTCACCCACGAGCCATCCGAGTCACCCCTGCGACGCTACCATCACTATATCTATATCAGTTTCTGGGCGCTGGTGTCGTCGCTGGTTCTCTATCTGGCCGGAGGGCTGTCGTACCTGGATGCCTTGCTTCTCGCCTCCGGCGCAGCCACCCAGACGGGGCTGAACTCTATCGACCTCAACCGACTGCATGTGGTCCAGCAGGTCACCCTCTGGGGGGTGTCGATGGTTACCAATGTGATCTTCATCAACTCGCTGCTCGTCGTGATTCGGCTCTATTGGTTCCGCAAGCGGTTCCGCGGCGTCATCCATGAGGCCAAGGTATTATGCCGCACGCAGCGGAACAAATGGAATCAAGGCCTGCTGCTGGAAGGAGGGATCGAGAACCGGCCTCCCCCTCCCTCCTCCTCCTCCTCCTCCTCCTCCTGTTCCTCGAACGATCTCGGCTGAGAGACCCGCCGAGGAGCGACCACTGTTAGAGGTGGTCGATGGCGAGGATCGAACCTCCGACTTGATCGGTTACTCCTCAGGCCGGAGGTATGGCGCTGCGGCGGCGGGATCAACTAGTCCGCACATCACCTTCTGTGACTCGGAGGCCGAGTATGAGATCAAACACCACCGTCGCCGGTCGATGTCAGGGACGCGCTCGCGTCGCTCGCTGTCGGAGTATGACTCGCCCGTGCTCCAACGGTCGTGCCACGATCTCGACGCCCTGCCGGCGCTGATGTGGCAGTCGTCGATCGCCAGCTACGCGGACTGGAACGAGGCGCAGAAGGAGGAGCTGGGCGGGATCGAGTACCGGGCGCTGAAGACGCTGTTCGTCATCCTCGTCTGCTACTTCGTGGTTTTCCACGTGCTGGGGATTGTGCTGTTCCTGCTGTGGGTGCTGCCGAACCGCCAGTACAGCCAGGTGCTCGCGGACGCGGGCATCAGCCGGCCGTGGTGGGCGATCTTCACGGCCGGGTCGGCCTTCAACGACCTGGGGTTCACCCTGACGCCGGACTCGATGGATGCGTTCCAAACCGCGGCGTTCCCCCTCCTCGTGATGACCTTCCTCGTGGTCATCGGCAACACGGGCTTCCCGTGCATGCTCCGCTTGATCATCTGGACGCTCTCGCAGTTCACCACGTACGGGTCCCCGCTGGACGACGAGCTGGAGTACCTGCTGGAGCACCCGCGTCGGTGCTTCACGCTGCTGTTCCCCAGCGCGGAGACTTGGCGACTGTCGGCCGTTCTCCTGTCACTCAACGCGATCGACCTGCTCATCTTCTACACCCTCCAAGAGGTAAGTCCTGCGCAGCAGCCTCCACCTTTACTTGACCACCCCCCTCAACTAACCAACCGCCGTCAAACACAGACCCCGCAAAACCCCACCATCACCCCCGGCCTCCGGCTAGTCAACGGCCTCTTCCAAATCGCCTCGACCCGCACCGCCGGCTTCAGCATCACCCCGCTGACGACCCTACACCCGGCCACGCAAGTCTCCTTTCTGGTGATGATGTACATCTCCGCCTTCCCCAACGCGATTGCCATCCGCAAGACCAACGTCTACGAAGAACGCAGCCTCGGCATTTTTTATAACGACGACTCGCTATCATCTGCCTCGGACGCACAGCCCACCCACCCCTCGGCAGACTCGCTGGCCGCCCACATTCAGCGCCAACTGGGCTTCGACCTCTGGTACGTGATGCTGGGCTTCTTCCTGATCGCCGTGGCCGAGGGTCCGCGGCTGCAGGCGCGCGAGGCAGTCGACCGGGACGCGTTCGCGCTGTTCCCGATCCTGTTCGAGATCGTCTCCGCCTACGGCACCGTGGGCCTGTCGCTGGGCTACCCGGGCGCGGAGACGAGTCTGTGCGGCCAGTTCTCGGGCCCCGCTAAGGCGATCATCATCGCCATGCAGGTGCGCGGGCGGCATCGCGGTTTGCCGCATGCGTTGGACCATGCGATTTTGTTGCCGTGTGAGATTTCGGGGAAGGGGGAGGGGGAGGGGGACGGGGAGGGGGATCTGGAGGCGTCGGAGCCGTGGTGGTGGTGGATGCGCTGGATGCGGAAGAAGGGGGAGGATTGGGGCAGTTTGTTTGGTGGGGGGGATTGAGCTTGCTTTTTCTTGGGGATTCAGGAATTGGTCTGCGTTTGGTTGGGGTTGCTTTGTAGTGTGGATATGAACTGGACTTGAGCATCAATCGCGGACTCTGCTTTGATGCGAAGTGGAGATGGAGGTGCATTACCGTGCTGTGTGTACTGTACATTGGGGAACTGTGATTAACATAAGAGCAGAAAAGAAAAGGCACTCCGTAGAGATGCACCGGCAGTGGTAAGGTACAGTACAATCACATGCTTCCAGCACAACCCCATTGCAACGAATGCCGTACAACAAACGCAACCATCCAATCAGTAGACTAAGCATAGACCTCGGATCGACAGCTGTCAGTCTGCAACAGCGTGCCACGTACCAGGTAGGGCTTCAAGTAAGCTTTCATCCTCCAGTAACACCGTATTTCCTCCATACATCCATCGCACAAGACATGCATAAGCTAAGTGCCCCGTAACTTAGCACACACTTGGGGTTATACACAAAAAAAATCAAACAAAGTACTGTACAGCACCCATTGGATTTGCAATAGCATGCTCGCAGCATTTATAGACAAATTCGACAGCCAGATAGCCAAAAGAGTAAGCCGTAGTGAGTGGAGCAAGGTGTACTATAGAGCAGAATAGTATACTCTAGTTTATTACTACTACCACTCAGAAACAGAGTCAAAATCCAGAAACCCTCAACTCCAACCGGAGATGAATCGGCCTGAAACACCCTGCCCACCCCCTGGCGTGACTCCGACCGGAGCATACCGTACCTTGTGCATTTCCTTCTTTGTCTACGATTACATTGATCCAACTAAATTCGAAAAGGGATACTCAGAAGATTAAAGCATCCACTAGGTAACTACGGAGTACTTCCCTGAACGATACCCTACAGTGACTCATACCTTATGGGCTATAGGCCATCCTCGGAGAAATAAAGTCTGACAAGAATAAAACCGGCAGAATCAAACCCCTCAAACCCCTCAAACCCCCTCAGGGTAAAGTACTACTCTAATATGCGAAGTGTGGTGGTGGGTATATGAAACATCCACATGCCAACGCCAAGACCCTTCCCACGTCCTCCTATCTCATCTCATCCGTGTATCCGTGATAGCCTCATATGGGAATCGGGGCAGGATGCAGATGCAGATGTGTGTGGATAGCGAGGAAGGCTGATGTTCCGGAATCCGGCACGCACGGGTACAACGGGTAGGTAGCCTACTTGCGCCCCCCCCCCCCTCAGTAGGCTAGATATGAAAACGGTAGTAGTGCTAGTTAGGCTAGACGGGGTTTACGGATTCTCGCGGTTCCGTAAACCAGCGCCAGAATTTTAGGGGTTCACTGTTCCCTAGGTACCTAAGGCCGAGCTAGGACCACTCTGGCACGGGTTAGGGCGGGCGGAGGCTCGGAGAGCGAGAAGGCCGAGTTTGTTCCGGGGTTTGACAATGGCCTCCGTTCTTTGGCGGGTGTGCATTAGTTAGTTGTGCTGTGCTTATGCTCTCATGTTTATGCATGTTTTGTGTAGGCTATGCTTCTTGTGCGGGAGGCGGATCTCCCCGGATGCTTTCAGGTCATGCTGGATGTTCAGTTGGATTGTGTGAGCTTTAAGCTACACAGTAGGTCACCCGGTGGTTTACTCTAGTTGCTGGATTTTGGTGGAGGGGTTGATGGTGTTGATGAAGAGGGGATCGTGTGACTGACGTCTAGACTCGCTTGTTGTTGGTCCTATCCCCTACTCTATAGTGTACACCCCCACTATTCACCACATGCAATGAAGAATAGCGATGAAGTCACCGACTGCTAAAGTACCCTAATTCACTGTACTCCTTACTGTAGCTCCGGATCTCGGATCATGATCGCCCACCCCCTGTACGGTAATCACCCGTATCCCGAAGATGAGGTCAAGCAGCCCGGGGAGGGGGGGGGGGGGGAAGGCCCAAGGGCCAGGTTGTTGACGTCAAGAACTGACCTTCTGACTGACTTGCAGCTTACACAGCAGCAACAGTCCCCCGTCATATGTTTATTTGTGTACAGCCACCAATCCCCAAAGTATTTACCTTGCAAGAATGGGATCTTCAGGATGATCGCGGTTCATGAGGTAGGACAACAATCTCGGGAGAGGTGAGGTATGATGATGTTAGTGGTGTCGTCTATCGTCTATTAACATTGCCCGTACGTCAAAGTCTACAGTTGAGTGCTGCTGCCTGTCTTACCGTTGACGATCGCGAAATCGTCGACGTATTGCATTGCATTCGCTGGGAGGCGAATCTGCTCCTGCTGATGTGGAGGGTTGTTATTGGGATGTTTATTTTGCCTTCGCTTCGCGTGGTGATAAGCCTGCCTGTAGAAATGTAAGGTGTCAGTTGCTGAATCCGTCCAGGCCCAAAACTGTGATGATGGATTGACGTTTGCAGCTTGGAACCAGCTACTCAGTATTTCCCGACGGTCGGTGCTGTGTGGTATCAAATCAGAGATTTAAGGTTTGGGGGGGATCCCGATCGTCGGTTTTTGTCAGCTTCTAGGTGTTGAAGTGGTTTTGGGGACGTTCTGGTCTAGAACGATTTGTTGTCGATTTGGGTGGTTGATAAGTTACTGAGTAGCTTGAATTTAGGTTGTTGTTCGTTTTCTTGCGATTATGCAAGCACCCACTCCCCCTCCCCCCCGCCATGTCATTTCCCCACTGGAGAATGGAGTTGCTGCCCGCTCCAGACTCTTTTTCTTTGCTCTGTGTATGGTCTGAAGAGTCCATTCTGCCGCAGTGGGCTGCGATGATCATGGATGATCAATGATCATTCGAATGTGTGGACGTGTGGACTCCAGCAGTATGATGGCGATGGCGAATGTTGATGACGAGGAATGAGGGCGGCGCGGCGGAGACTGTTTACAGTCTCCCTCGTCATTGACCTCATCATTGGCATCATTGTTGTTCCAGATGCCCTGATCGAGGCTGCTTTCGCCAGCAAGATAGCCTTTCTGTGGTGGACGCAAATGGAGATCTGTTATCTCCGACACGCCGACATGAGTAGCATCTCTGTCACATGACCGATGAGCATAGAAGTCCAGTTCCCAAGTTAGGATTAGTCCCGGAAATCCGTCCGCCTATCTTTCTCCGCACTTGCTCCGCTTCCTTTTCGAGGGGCTGTGCTGTGCCAGCTAGGGGGAGTTTCAGATAGACGATAGATCATCAGATCATCGACTATTGAATCAGTTCATAACCACAGCAACACATGGCCTTTCGAGTCATCATCCTCGCCAATCTCACCATTCTCACCATTCTCACGAGAGAGCCTCATCATTCCCGCTCAGGTCGCGCATTCGGCGATTTCCGTTGTCAGACTCAGGTCACAGCCACAATAGACGCGAGACAACCACTTAGCGCGGGCTACATGCTATTCAGGCCCGCCTTTAACTTACTACTAACCGACCAGCTAGGTAACTTTGACCCTGCACAGCCATGTAAGCAATTGATCAGGGGGATTTTCGCTGCCTACACGGAGGGGTTTGGTTTTTGAGTCGTTGCGAAGCGGACGACACGTTTCGTTGAAGGAGAGATACTCCGTACAGTAGTGGCTCCCAAGGGACGATCAATCCCTACCTGGAGTCACGTCGTACGTACTCTAGTTCCAGCCCCAGCCCCAGCCCCAGCCCCAGCTCTATCTATCCTTCACCCAAGGTACGTACTAGTCAACACTATTCCTCCTAGGCAAGAAAAGTCTACTCGGCATTCGCAAAGCCCAAATGTCTCGCCTCAAAAACGCGCGATGGCGTGGCGTGCCTATACTTCGCTCACGGGCGATCTGACCTGCCAAGCATAGCATGGGCTGTTGCTTGCGGAGAGGCAGACTGACATGAAGTCAGGAATGGGGAGGAGCCGCAATAAAGCCAAGAAGGGGATGATGGATGGCGCCTGAGCGATGATGGCCCTCGGGTCTTTGCCTTTCGCTTTTTGCCTTTCAACATAGATTAAGGCGTGACTGACGGCCTTTTGACATGTGGCAGCCGGTGAAGAATTCCATTGGGCGCATTTTCTACTTACAGACCTTTGTGACGAATGATAAGGATGTGGGAAATGACCTACGTGGACGGATTGTAGATGCGTATGAGTAATAGGCAGTAGACAAGAAAAGAAGATGTATTTTGATTGCCTTATCTCCACATAGTTGATAAATTATGTGCAAACACGAGTGACTAGATAGTGGGTATACGAGCAAGTCTAGTATGTGATTAGGGCAGGGGCCAAAATAAGGCAGACAGAAACGGAATTACGGCAGGAGATGGATTCCGATGGGGGGTGGGACCCGTCGTATTCGCATATGAATTGCATTGGTTGTTGTGTTGTGTTGTGCTGTGCTGTGCTGTGCTGCTGCTGCTCTGTTGTTTGAACTCCGCAGTTGGCAGCATCTTGCAACTCACGATTCTTTAAACCCGACCGAGCGAGACTTACTGGGCTTGCTTACCTATCCGTTTTCGGTCATGACTCCTTCTCGCAACCATGTCCCAAAGGGTGCTGTACAGTTACAGGGGTGCATGGACGGAGTTGGATAGCAGTTCGGCTTTTGTTTATCAGGGATTACTCATCGTGAGAACCCTGGGAGGCTGACAAAACGGGATTGGGGATCGAAGAGGCTTTTCGGATAGGCTACTCCGTACCGCACCTCAGATTCTTTTCTGCGCCCGGCAGAAGAAGAAAAATTTTTGAGTCGGGTGGGGAACTTATTTGCGACGGGTCACGGATCCCGTCCGCAAAAGCCCAACTAGGAGTCAACTACTATCGTGAGGCTGGTTACTCGTATGTTAGGGGACCAAAAAAATAATGTGTTAGGTAGGAGCTTAGGAATCAATTCAATTATCAATCAAAAGGGTCAGAGAGTCAATTAGCAGTGAGGGGGGTGGTGTACCTCAAACCTTGTATACTCTCTCCTTGTACAGAGTATAAGAGCATTAATAAAAGGATTCAAGCCCAGCTGGGTGCCCTGGACTGATCATCAACCGTGGAAATATTAAGATTGGACACTTGGCGCGCGAAGATGCCAAAAGAGTGAAGATGATGAATAATGATGGTGTTTGCAGTCAGGATTTCTAATGCAGACAATCGTTGAGTAATCGTAATCTTGCTAGGGCAGGTGTGCTGGGCACCTGCTGGAATTTTCTAGCTTGGGAGCCTTTTTTTATTTTCTCTCTTTCACTTGCTCAGCCGGAGACCACGGCGCGGAAAGATTGGTCATCGGAAACCCGATCAGGGTTTTTTTGGTGCTGCTGCTGAGCTGGGATCGCCCAGAACGGGAATAAGCAGGCGGCGCCCAGGCGTGACTCACTGGCTTGCTGCAACTATTGGTCTCGTTGATGGGCGGTGAGAATGGCACTTGCCCTCTTGGGCAGGGATTTTGGGTGCAGGACAGAATTTCGATGGTGGATCCGGCTTTCCTTGACGGAGTTTCCGATCCACGGATGGTCTGTCGCCGAACGTCCGATCGCGCCTTTCGGACTTTAGATGGAGTACGAGCAGAGTAATGAAGTAAAAAAAAAAAGAGACAAAAAAAAAAAAAAAAAAAAAGGAAGTAAGAAACGGGGATTGGAAATAGCGGATGACAAGCACCGAAAAGAAAAAAAAAGAATCAGCCTAGAAAGTGGATATATCATAAACAATCCCTATCTCCCTGGTACATCTCGAAATGTTCTTTTTCTTCTCTTCTTTTTCAATCACAACACATAGCTAATAATCCTCGCCTGTCCGCTTGTCCACCTCAGACCGCAACCATCACGACATACACATACATCCCGCACCACCAACACATCCATCCACCATCTTTCCCCGCCGGCCACTACTGTGTGACTATTGAAAGTGCATGATTGTCAGTGGAGACATCGGGACGCCAGGAACCCCTACCAGCTCGACAACACCCAGATATCAGTGTTTTTCACCGTTGTGTCTGCGTCTGCACACTGCATCAGTCGCAAACGCACTAGACTGAAAGATAAGGCGCTGCTGCGATCCATTATTGATCCGCCTGCAGCGATACCAGCGATACCAGCGACCCTTGACTCACCGCCCCACCATCCGCCATAAGGTTGATTGGTCGATAGGTCGACTGCCGGAAGGAGGAAAGGCAGCCTGAGTCACCGCGCCGCGCAAAGCGAACGAGTCACCTCTAAGCCTCTAAGTTCGGCGATCCTTACTAGCATCCTTAGCAAAGCACATCAACACGGCCCTCCCGGAGATTTGCGCCATGGCAACTCCTGCTTCCCCCACAATTTCTACTTCTACTCCCTCCTCCCACCCTCCCTCTTCCTCTTCTCTTCCCTCCTCCACTCCGTCTCTCAGCTCCTACTTCACCTCTCTGGCTCGCCGTCGCCAACAAAAGAAAATGAGCATCACTCAAACCTACTACCTTGCCCACACCGCCCGCAAGAAGCTTACCCGTGAAGCTTCCCGGGCGGACCATGATCTCCGCCTTCTGGTTGGCCACGCCAACCTCCTCGACTCGCTCATGCTGGAGCTGGCTGATGCCGAACGTGAACAAGAACATTGGTTCAACCAGACCGTCAGCGGTGTGACCAAGACCTCCCACCACTCCGAGCCTCGACACATCCAATGGGCGGAGACTGTCGTTGAGGACCCGGAGGAAGACTGGGATCCCGAGGACCTTTCTGACGCCGACTCCGACGTCAGCGAGGATGACTCCGACTACGACGAAGACCAGTATGAGCCCACTACCTACAGTCCGGTGCGACGACGGGCTCCCTCCCCGGTGGCCATCATCACCGAGAAAGAAATCGAGGAGGATTACGACTCCGATTCTGATTCCGACTTTGAGTACGACGATGAGGAGGATCTGGAAGAATTGACCCTGACCCGCTCGCCGTCTCGGCAAACCCCGCCCGAACTGCTGTCCGACTCCGATGGAGAGTCGGAAGACGACACCATGCCCCCTTCACCTCCTCAACCAACCCTGGAAACATTCAACGAGAAGGAGCCGCAAACCGCCGAAATCCCTCTCTCTCCAACCGATCTGGAGAATGGCTACTACGTTCCCGGCCAAGCGCCAAGTGCGATGCTTGAAGCTTATTGAGATCGTACCTTGCAGCAGCGGCTGATCCTCCATTCTCTGTACCATTATCATACGTGATACCCTCGTCGTGGATTGTTTCTGGAAGAACCTTTTTTTTACTCTATTTTATCTTGGGGCAAGTTGTCACCACCATAGCGGGTCCGGCGTTTTTCTGAAACCAAAAATTACTTCTCTCCTATCATCATGATTCAGCATTGTTTTGGGATGGCATATTGGCATTGGGGGTGGAGTCCCCCCTTTTTTGTTTTTCATGCCCGAGCGCTTGGGCATTGATTTCTCTCTTCTCATACCCGCCCACACATATTCGGGTCCCATCTCTGTCTTCTTCCTGGTCCCACCGTTGGGCCGCATATATTGGCGGCCCCATTTTTCTTGTTTATGTATTCCACGACATGGCCTATAACGGTGGCCTCTCAGGCATATGAGACGAGATGATGAATTTGCATATATAGAACATAATCATACCAACCTTATACATGAACCCCTTCAATCCAAAGATTCGTACTTATCCTTGACCGGTAATCATTGCTTTGATGTGTCAAGCATTGGCAAAGCGATAACGAAGTGATCAGTAAACCGACTTAGAACTCACTAAACCGCTAGTCGCAGGTGCAGAAGAAGACTTGACTCCGCTTCTTAGCCCCATCCGGGAGGCTAGTTGGGCAGCTGGCTGCTGGCTAGACCGGGATGGCAGTGCCGATCGCGGCCCTCGCCAATCCAGGCCGAGTTCACCGCCCCGTGACGGATCACATGGCTGACGGGCGATCGATCCGCACGGAGGATCACCGCCGATCTCTCTGCTTCTTTTTTCCTGACTGACTGTTGAACTGACTCGATTCCGTCTTCCGCCTGTCCCTGTCACCCTCCTGATCTGGGTTCCTGGAATCCGGAATCTGATTGATCTCCTTCCTTGCTTTACTAGAAAAATGATGGATGGATCAAGTCAAAGCCGAGTAATCCTTCACCGTCTTTAGATCCTGTTTTGTTGCCATTGGCACTATTAGAGTTGGTTGAACTGGAGGTTCTTTTACCCCATCTAGGCCCTCATTCGAGTTGTTCTGTTGTAAGAAAAAAAAGTGCTAAAACACACTGAGTCTGGATTCCGGCCGCAATGGTGCACCGTGGTCTCCGCTGGCACTATCTGTTCCAGACCGGCCGGCCAAGCTGAGGGTAACAACTTGTTGCGCTTACATGGATCGGAAAGATATACTTGGTTTGACTTGAATTTGGACTAGCTATGCCCCTCCTACTTCTCCAATTCGGCTCTTTTGCTCCTTTAGTCATAGAGAGCGAGAGAAGATGGCCATTGTGGTTATATCAAGGGATCACGGGATTGCAATGGTGGTCTGTCACTGGGCGTTGACCGGGGAATTGCTAAATGTGAAGTTGAAGTCTCCGCGTGGCAGGAGTTTTGTTCCGCATGTGGTCACTCACTCACTACTGACTGGGCAGGGAATGACAGCAGGGAAACGTGACCCGCCGGCCATGTTCCTCCTGACCGCCTTCCATCTGCCCCGCCCTGGATATGGCATGCCGGCCGCCTCCTCAGCTCCTATTCCACTCTCACCTTTCGTCCCTTTCCCCCTCCAGCTGCTTCCGGCTTGCTGCCTGTCACTCTACTTCAATTCAATCCGGCGCTTTTCTGCAGAGTCACTCACTGTAGCTTCAAGCTAGCCCTGAGACCCGCTTTGGTTCATCTCATTCTCTCATCCTCGAGCGTGCCGGTCTCAGACACTTGCTCGGGAGTTTCCCCTTCGTCACGACCTCTCTTACCAAACCATGGTCGGCGTCTCCCGCATCGTACCACTCGCCGAACTTGCTGAGCTTCACGGTGGCTGAGCCACCGACTAGTTATTGACTTTGAATCAAATTGTTCCTTTCCTTTCTATTTACTCGAAATTCCGACCACTACAAGGCGCTGAGTCGTCTGCCACCTTCCTTCGCTGTCCCTCCCACTAGAGCCGTCAGCATGCCCTCCCCGTCGTCGCAATCCCTCGAGGGCGGCGCCACCCAAGGCGCTGGTACAAGCAAGCCTCGATCTTCACACAGAGCTGAGAGTTCCCAGAGAAAGTCAATTCAGTTCAACGTTGGCGGCACGGAGCCGCTGCCGCATCGTCGATCCGTCAGCGCTGCAGGTCACCGACCGCGCCCGCAGCTCGACGTCACCTCCACAGAACGGGAAATCAAGCCTTCGCCCAGTCGTGGGCCGTCCCCTCCACCGCCTCAGTAAGACCATTCTTTATTGTCCGTGTCTACATTATCTTTGTTGGCTAATGTAATAATCTCAGGACCTACGAGCGAGGTGTGTCGTTTGACACCTTCGATAACCCGGATGCGGCCGACTTCTCCTTAACCCTCAACTACAAACACAAAGGCTATCAGTCCACCCGTCGCAGTCGAACCTTCTTATGTGGGACCGACCAGAACGATTACTCCGACTTTGCGCTGGAATGGCTCATCGACGAGCTCGTCGACGACGGTGATGAAATCGTCTGCCTCCGTGCGGTCGAGAAGGACTCGAGCATCGCCAGCGACGCCGCCGTGGAAGCGGGGAAATACCGGAAGGAGGCGGAGAAGCTGTTTGAGCAGGTGATCCAGAAGAACAGCCAGAACGAGAAGGCCATCAGCCTGGTGTTGGAGCTGGCGGTGGGCAAGGTCCAGGAGATCATCCAACGCATGATCCGGATCTACGAGCCGGCTGTCCTCATCGTGGGCACCCGGGGTCGCAATCTGGGGGGTGTGCAGGGGTTGCTGCCCGGCTCGGTCTCCAAGTACTGCCTGCAGCAGTCGCCGATTCCTGTGATCGTGGTGCGGCCGTCGACGAAGCGCGAGAAAAAGAAGAAGAAGCGTCTGGCCGACCCCACCCGCCGCGGGTACAACAACATTCTGGAGATGAGCGAGCGGCGCGGGAGCCATATCTTCGACCGCAGCACCAGTCGCGACAGCAGTGTGTCGAAGCTGCCCGGCGAGGAGGCGGCGGTGGCGGCCGCGCTGGGGCTGCCTCACTCGTACACGAACTCGCGCAGCTCGCTGTCGACCTCGGAGCGGAGCAGTGTCAGTCACGATGAGTCGCTGTCGTTGAACGGGCTGGTGGAGGCTGCGACCCCGAGCCCTAGTTCGGGAAGTCTGGAAAACTCGGTGGACGGAAGTGGATCGGACGACGAACCGACGGTGGTTCACGTGGAAGACGAGGCCGGCGGGACGCCTTCTCCGGCCCTCGAATTGACCGAGTCCAGCGATAGCTCGGCGCCTGCTGATACCAAGGAGGATGAGGAGGAGGTTGATGAACCGGAGGTTGTCCCGGGATTGCCTGACTTCAATGTGGTTCCTCGGATTGTTTATGAGGATCCGACCGGCTCGAAGCGCAGTTAGACATGCGGTCAGCGTGACTGCACATTGATGACCGTGCAACCACCCGTCTTGAATTTTTACTTCGACATCAACATATGTCTACACGAAACAGTGACACAAGACCGTGGATCCATTTTACATCCATTCCACAAACAAGAATCTCAAGACTACACGTCGACGAGCACAAGACACTCAGATGAGAGATTTACACCGATGTTTTTCTCATTCTCTGCTCTATACACTGCCGTGCATTACAGCATTTACAGCTAACTCCAAGCGCCGATCTGATGCATCGATAGATAGCATGTACTGCAATGGTTAAGAGAGCCTCAGGCCTCAGTGGGTAGCCTTAATGGGGCAGAGATGATATTCATGATACTGTATCTAGATATTCTAGAATCATTAATTCAATCACAACTCTTTAAGTCAAGTTCTGTAGTAGTGCTGATGAGATCAAGTCTCGATGCTGCTATCTTGTTCGGAAGTCCTAAGCAGAACCACAATGCCCAGTAATGTCATTTTACTCTGCTCCGCCAGTGCTTGAGGAAAGAACCCTACTCAGTGCATCGAGGGACACTCCCAAGGCAAATATCCACTCATTGCTCACTCCTTGCTATCACTGCATGAAACATACCTCAAATCTCCGGTACACAACCGGAAGACCTCCTTGAGAAAAAAAAATAACCTCTGCCAGCAAAAAAGAGTTTAGTCTGCTCTGGAGATTGAGGATATCTACTTAGGGTTTCTGGGTGGTTATAGACTGTCAATGCAGACGGCAGGGGAGGGTAGGATAGCTGAAGTCTGCCTTATCTCCCACTTGGATACAGGTAGAATTTCGGTAGGCATTGGCCTTTGAAGTGGTTTGAAACGTTCATGTCGATAAACTTGCGAACACGTTCTGAGCTGTAAGCGAGGCTCTATCCCGATTCTATGCCCGATCGCGACCACCACCACCACCACCACTAAAGATGCGACCGCAACGGCTCCCCCGTCCCCAAGGGCTCCTCAAACCCCAGGAACCCCCTCGCCTTGATCTCCGCCAACTTGGCCCGAAACGGGCCCAGCCCGCCGAAATACAACCGACTGGCCGGGCGCTTCCCGGGGACATTAGCCCCGAACATCCACGAGGGCGCTTGGGCAAAAAGGGTCTTGCGCGCGGTGATATCGCAATGGTCCGTCCACCAGCTCTCCGCCTCATGCGTGGCCTCAATCTCGCACTGTCTCCCGCTCTGCCTCGAGATCTCCTCCGCACGGCGGATCAGATCCCGTAGGAAATCCACATTCGTCTCCGTGAGCGGCGGCACGTTCGAGAACGCGGCCATGGGCCCGGACACGATCAGCAGGTTGGGGAACCCAGACACCGCGCAGCCGAGATAGCACTCCGACGCGGTGCGCCGCCACCGCTCCGTCAGGGTTTCCGCGGGGTTGCGGCCGCGGATCTCCACGCGCGCGTAGCTGCCATCCAGGGCATCGAACCCCGTCGCCACGACGATGGTGTCCAGCTCGTAGAGCGTCCCGTCCGCCGTGCGGATGCCCTGCGCCTCCACTTTTGTGATGGGATGCGTCATCACATCCACGGCGTGCACGTGGTCGCGGTTGAACTTCTCGTAATACCCCGCGTCGCTGAGCGGGCGCCGCGCGAAGGGCTCGCGGGGCATCAGCACCGCGGCCTTCTGCGGGTCGTGTACCACCCCCCGAATCTTGCGGCGCAGGAACCGACACACCTCCTCGTTGGCGACCGGGTCGGTGGTGAGGTCGCTGAACCCGCCGAACAGGAACTGCAGCCCGTTGCCCTCGCGCCACAGGGTCTCGAGGATCCGCTCGCGGTCGGCGGGGCTCACGGCCATGAATTTCCGGGAGGACTCGGGGAAGCCCATCCCCAGGTGCGAGGCGCGCACGTCGGCCCACAGCGCGGGATACGCGGCGTTGATGGCGGCGCGGTCCGCCGCGGTGAGCGGCCGGTCGTTGGCCGGCACGCTGTACTGCGGGCGGCGGATGAAGACGTGCAGCGAGGCCACGCTGTCGGCGATGGCGGTTACCACTTGCACCCCGGACGAGCCGACCCCGATCACGCCTGCGCGCTTCCCCGCCAGCGCGGTGGTGGGGTCCCAGGCCGCTGTGTGCACTACCTGCCCCCGGAAGGTTCCTTCCTTGAGGCCGGGGATGTCCGGGAGGACGGGCTCGGTCAGCAGCCCCAGTGCGGTCACTAGATACCGGACCGTGTATGTGTAGTGCACCACCTCCTTCTCCTCCTCCTCCTTGCCCTCTTGCTTCTTACCGATGTCTCGACACCTCACCCTCCACCTCTTGGTGGCATCATCCCACTCCGCCCCCTCCATCACCGTCTCGAACCGCATGTGCCGCCGCAGATCGTACCGCGCCACGACATGCCGCAGGTACGCCAGCACCTCCGGCTGCGTCGAGTACCGGTTCGCGGCCGGGTAGGCGCGCAGCAGCGCCTCGTCGAAGCTGTACCGGTACAAATAGCTCCAGGTGTCGCTCAGCGCCCCCGGGTACCGGTTCCAGTACCAGGTGCCGCCGACGTCGCGCGCCTTGTCGATCGCCTGCACGCGCAGCCCGTCTTGGAGGAGAGTGTGCAGGGCGTAGATGCCGGCGAAGCCTGTGCCGACGACGAGGGCGTCGAGGTTGGTGTTTTGGGGGTCTGGGTTTTGGGGCATGGTGATCGGAGGGTTTCCCAAGTTGTCTGGGTAGGCTGTGGTCGGGGGGGATACTCAGTGCAGCTGCTTGGTCATGTACAGTATGTACACTACAGTATGTAGGCAGGTAAGCTCGGCTGGATGCTTATAGCTTCTATCTTATATCTTATATACCTACCCTCCTCACCCCTGCCCTTTCAATTAGTCACGTTCGGAGAAGGAAGAACAAGCAAAATGCAAAAAGCAAATATGAAGCAACCCTCCCCCTCTTTTCTTATGCGGCGATCTTGAAAGAGTGTTTGAATTCTGACTGGCCACGGGGTTCACATCATCCCTGTTCTTCGCTGTCTGTCACATTCGGCTAAATTGGGACGTCCAGAAACCCCGCACTGGCTTCAGCTAGAATAACTGTACTGCACTGGACATTGTTTCACTGCGATGTGGTTGAGAAATTAAATCAAATCGAATCAGGTAGTTACATCAGCTTACAAACTAACCTTCCACCCTTCTCCGAGGATGGGCGAGATGAGACACATGAGGAGAGGAGTGGAAATTCCCGCGGCGAGTGCAGGGTTAAAGTACTGGACCCTTTTGGGCGCGAAGTGATCCCCCCCCACTTACTTTGCTGATAAGGTGTGGTGAATACTTCGTGGTCGAGATGGTTATCTGAAATGTAAGCATTCCTGTCCGAGCAGTACGAGGAACGTGTTATGGTTCAAGATTCCACAGATTTGAATTCATGGGGACGAAGGGGATCAAGACCGGTGGCCGGCGATAGAAACAGAATCCCTCACTCTCTCGGGAAATACCCCAGAAAATCCATCATGGATAGGTGGTGATTTCCCCACACCTACACATCCACCATGACATTGGTCTAACCGTACTTCTGTCCTTTTTTGTAATGGGCCATGAGGATGGAGATTTGGACTTGAGTCTGTGGGAATGTCCAGTCGTATGTACCTTTCATATACCTCGGCAATTCGCCATGAAGCAGTCGCTTCGATAGCATGAACATGGCCGCGACAAGCGAGTGTCTATTTAACAACGGTAGGTAAGGATGCAATGACAAGAGATTGATCTTGAACTTGAACAGGATCTCTGCCAGCCATGTGACTCTACCCCCAAGTATCTACAAATGCATCATGCGTCCGCCTCCATCTCATAGTACGGATCGTTCGGGTCGTACGGGAATTTGCGCACCACCACATCCCCCTGATACCGCCACAGCTCCTCCTCAATCCCGCTAAGCTGCACCGCACACATGTCCTCTGCCTGTCCGAAGGTCTTCACCTCCGTCGCCGACCCATTCGCATAGTTGACCCGCACCATGTTCACCGTCTGCCGGCTCGGGCCCCCCAGCAAATAGTTCAACGGCGTGAACTGCACGCCCGAGTGCGCCGTCGTGAACACCGTGTTGGGCAGGTCGCCCGTGTGCGGCACGTGGTGCATCCCCAGGTTCAGCCACACGACCAGATCGGTCTGGTTCAGCGACTCGCCGTCGAAGAACTCGGCGAAGTTGACGGGCGGCTCGTGGATGTCCTGGCTGTTGTAGGGGTGCGCGGCGCGCGGCTCGTGGTCGTGCTGCCGCGTGACCTGGATGTCGTACTCGGCCCAGTGCGCGGCGTGCGCCAGGTTGCTGGAGTCCTGGACTGTCAGGTGCGCCGTCCCCGCCGCCGGCAGCACGCGGTAGCCCCGGTACTCGCCGTACTGGTTGCGGGCCTCCTGGTTGATTACGTGGATCATCGTCGCCCCGTTGGGACCCCAGTTGAAGCGGCCTTCGTCTTCAGACGAGAGAATCGATCGCTCCAGGGCCATGGTGTTGCGCGAGCGGCCGCCGGACCAGGTGAAGTTGCGGCTGACCGGGGCGACCGTGGTGAGCTCGATGCTGTTGTTCACGCCCAGGATGTCGAAGTCGGCCTTGAAGTTGAGGACGTGGTCGTGCATGCTGCCGGACAACGCATCGTGGATGCGGTAGCCGAAGTCTTCGTTGTGCGCGTAGTACGCGGCCTGGATGTAGCCGGAGGCGCGGACTTCGACGCCAATCGTGCCATCCATGTGGAAGGTGTAGCTAGAGATACAATCATTAATGGGGGGTGCTTCATGCGTGTTGTGGGCTTGACTCACCTGGTCATATAGTCGTAGTTACCAATAGTGGACACGGATCGGAGGGTGAGGTACACGTTCTTCGTACTGCTCACGTAGTCGGACGTGCTGTGGCGCTGGATAGGATAGTCTGCATCGTATTCAAACACGCAGAGACTGTCAATGTGCGTGTGCGTTGTCTCAGAGACGTAGAAGGAGCTGTTGAGGTAGGTTGCATAGACCGGGCAGTCGTAGCCTTTGACTAGCTCAAAGGCATACGGCCCAAATCCGTAGTATGAGTCCAGATACGCGACGCTGGATTGTATTGGATCGTTGCCAGCATAGTGGGCGAGTGCCTCCTGTAGACCCAACTCGTACAGCACGCGCTGACCCTTGTAGCGGATATCAAAAACGGATACGCCCGTGTCACGCGAGAAGCTGATATAAAAGGAGAAGTCCATCCATGTCACGTATTTGCGGTCAAGGTCCACAGAGTACCGTGCTCCTGACGGCGCTACCATGAGAGGAGGTTGCTGCTTGTCTTGTGGAAGTATGGGGCCCCGTTGATCCGTCTGTGCCCATGGTCCTTCGAAGTTGGGCTTCAGTTTGACGAATCCAGGTGAGAAGAATGCATTGCGGAATGCCTCGGTCGTTTCGTAGAAGACGTCATTGTAAAGCCAGCCCTCAAGCTTCCACTGAGAAGGATCACGCCCAGTCACGTCGGACTTGAAGAATAGTCCCAGCGGTAGGATACTGCCGGTATCGAACTCATCCGTTGGCATATTCCAGAATGTGTCCCAGCGGATGATCCGGCCGTCATCCTGCCAGAGGGGGTCAATGCCCCATATGTCAAGGGTGTCGTTGTCTAAGCCCAATGCAGTCCCATTGAACAGGTCTAGGGTGATATCTGCAATGGATGCACTAATCTTATACAGCCACTCAGAGTAGATGGTGCTATAGTCAGCGTCGAGATTGCGCACACGACCGTGAGTCTTGCGCGTGTAAGGATACTCTAGTGGCGTCCACGTAGGGGTGGATTGATTGGTGATGGGTAGAGGCCCGACCAGAAGATCGGCATAATGAGGATCGGTAGTGGCGCGGTTGTCAAGGACGACATGCGCATAACGGCTAGGTGCTGGGCCTTGGTGATCGAGATAGCTCAAGACATCCGTCTTGTTAGGCCGCATCAGCTCGACGAGTTCACTGGTCCTCTTAGCAACCGAGCAGTGATCAGGAAGATAGGGCTTACATTGTGTTATCCCACTCGCCGGCATCCTCCGTGACAGTCAGGTTTAGAGCTGTTTGCTGGAAGAGCCACTTGACCACGGATGCTGTCTCATCGTCCGTCAACCCTTCCCAAACATTATGCCTCGGCGCTTTGATCACAGTTGCATTCTTGTCGACGCAAGAGGACGAGGACATAGACGAACGGGCTTGCAGGTTACGCGGGGAACTCTTCCTCCCACGACCTTGACGCACCCATGCGGTCTTGGGGTCGGGTTTCGGATGAGCTAGAGCATCCCCTATCAAGCATGACAGAAGGAGCCATGAGGCAAATGCTGCCACGGAAATCGTCAGCCTCATGTTGTCCAACGATGCACAAAGCACTGACGGTTGTGAGACGAGATACAATGCCAGCGTTATGGCTTTATATTTGTCACATTCGCGCTGTTCGGAACTAGCTAGGCTACAATCTCACCAGGAGTAGTATTATCTGAGCTGATATCGGAGAGTATGGTTGGCCATTCTCGTCACTCTCCTATTGTTGGGACCACAAGCCCGTCGGGTACATCGCGCCAGCTTGCTGTTGGACTTCCCTGAACCAGAAGGTACAGGCGGTGGTGTAAATGATGCATATGGTATCAGTAGATATAAGGATATAGCTTGGGTCCCGACGGCCATACATCGAGCCCGTCGTGATATCCCTCAATTTGGTTGGGCTTGACAGAAACTTGGCGCGACCGTGCCCTGTATATGAGGATTAGATCGGAGCGGTTTGCGATTATCTCCAGCGAATCCGAGTCAGTCGTCAAGAATGGGGTTTATCGCGTCCCGCGTTGATAGACCTTGCGGGGTACGCAGTTCCTGGATAACTTCAAGGAGAACTAAAGGTTACGGAAGTAATATGGCAGCTCTGCACTGCAGAGCAATAGAAGCATTGAGTCATGGCATCGATGAAGTTTTGGAATGTAATCGTTCGACAGCGTGGGCCTTGTTTATGAAGTACATGATAGACCTCTTTCAACAACACCTCGAGGCTAAGTGGAATTGCAAGTTATGCCAGTTTTCGACACAGACTGTGATCGCTGGACCTTCCGACTAGGCCATTCATCTCTCTTCTGATGCGATGTAACCGTGGCATTGTCAAGTACCTATACTTAGACCATGCGTTAGCATTAGCCGAAAATCGCCTCGGAATCATCTCGGAATGTATGACAGATAGCTGCTCACCATGGTAGCAGATCTAAGCGAGGTGAATGATTGAAGTGCTGCGTCTCTGGTTATGAGAAGCAGGGATGAGGGGTTGTTATCTTCAGCCTATAAGCGACAACCAACTTAGGCGACCCAAGCGACTTCTATGAAAGCGGGGAATAAGAAGTATGAAAGCAAAGATGAACCCAGGATATCGCGCACTGCGCACTGAGTGCGACAGTAAGTCCTCCGGAGGCGTCCTGATGTGTGACGAAGAGAATGGATTCAAGCTGAAGGTGGTAGGCAAAGGAAGTAAGCGATCAAACAGGTGACTCTCTCAAATTATCCCACAATTTGCGCCCTCAGGCAGCCATCCTCATTGTTGGAATAGGTGAATACGTCCAGAACTCTCGTGTAACGTTGCGTTTAGGCCCACCAGATTATTTGAAGGTTGTTTATGAATAGCTGAATCTAATCGGCATGTCCAACAGCAAGAAGCCTGTATCGGGCTGAGCCACCTCTGTGCGACCCAGACTTCGACGTTGGCAAAGGTATACTGCCTCCGACGTCTGTAAGGCAGGCAACTCTAGCGTCTCACCTCAGACTTCAGTGTCGATTTCATCCTCGCTTATATCGAGATCTCACGCTCGCCACTTCGTCTAAGCCTTCGACTCAGGAAATCGCCCTAATTCCTCCGACCAAAGATCGTGTATCCGATCCAGAGCTCACCCTCGCGGGGCTGTGGATAGCCTCTTGATGACAGAACGATCTCCAGATTTTGATGATCGATTTCCACTAAGGGTGCTGCTCGGATCTGGGGGTATCTCATTGCAAATGGGAAAGGTAGGTACCCTATCCTGGATAGGAGAGAGGTAGTTGTCAATCATGGCAACAAGAGCTTGGAGAGTTTCTGGTTCTAGCTTCTTGTCCGCATTGCTTATGCTAGCCTGGCATATGTAACATCAACAAGCATGGATCGCCCCGTTGAGGTCAAGTCGACCAGACAGCATAAGCATAGATCTGAGTACCTGCGCAGTGATCAGCAACATCTGCAGAACGGATCAAAGCTAGAGAAGGAAGGCAGCACGGCATCCCGGGTAAAGAGCAGACCAGCATCTCGCTGAGCGAGCCGCTTGTCTGCTCTTCCTCTTGATGCTCAAGAATCCTGGCGCGTTCATGAGGTACTAACCACTGCCTATACACACACAACAGCCCATAGCATGCCCAGAGCAAAAAAATAAACAGGATTACCGAAGTAAGCTTCACATGTTCAAGTCCTCTGGTTTCCATCCAGAATAGGGATCAAGCCAGCTAATGCTACTTCATACCAGATCCCAACACAGCCATCCCATACACCCCTTCCCAGCGCCAACCCGCCCACCCGCTGACTCGATGCTCTAAAGCAAAGGATAAGCCATTTCCCACCCTACCTCCATCTACACCAAGCCAAGAGAATACCATTCATTCCTGCCTCCGTCTCCCCTCCTACGTCATCTTCACCTCCTCCGGCGCCGAAGAGAAACAAAGGGGTTCAACCTGCCACCACCAAGTACAGAGTATATCCTCAGCTCACCGCAGCATAGACCCGAATCCCACCCTCCAACAAATCACCACCCCCCAAGCATTTACTTTCGTCCAAGGAAAGAGTAGAAAGGGTTGAACGAGTTGAACCCCTTCGCATCCGAGATAAATCCTTCAAGTTCTCCTCAGGTTTCTCGCATCCGAGCAAACCCATTCACGCATCCGAAGGTTGAACCCTTCGGCCGAAGTACCGGCTCGTAGTATACCATACCATAGATGTATAACACCAGATGGGAGGGAAGAGGCCGAGGATCATACGGTGTTTCGTCTTGGGTTGTTCGGCGCGTTTACCCCAGGTCTCCGAGCTTTTCGATTTATTAGCCATTCAGGGCCATCCAGCCTTGTTCCCCCTTAATTGACCATGATTTTTAGATAAAGGGCCTGGTTGGTCTCTTGGCTTCTTTATGCGCTATCAGATGGTTCGTTCCGAGTCGAGGGTTGCTGTCCTACTGATTATTATTATTATGTGCATGCATATTTCCCCTATGTCAGAGGAGATACGGTACCCCACCCCACTGGGCATATAGCTTCTGCGTACCATTTGATTAGTATGAACAAACACTGTGACTGAGTGACAACTGCGGCACAAGGAACATACGCAGAGCTGTATGGTAAGAAGTGTATCCTCGAGACGAGAGCACCTCCTCAGCAGTTTCTTTTCCCAGGAAATTGAACAAAAACAAGGTAAATATTCCCGAACCGGACCCAAACAACCCGCAACGGGCGCCGCACCACAACGGCCATCGTGCGTTTAAAAGTACCTTCGACTAAATAGGTAGTCCTTACCAAGTAGAAAATAGATAAGGTATCGGCCCTTGACTACCTAGCACTCCCCCAGGTAGCACCTACAGCAGCCACATCAAAGAACATGCCACCTGCTGCATCATTATCCAATCCAGCCTTACCGTCACCTCCCAACTCTAATGGTTAAGGGATCTCAACCCTTGTCTGGGGAGAGGATGGCGATTGGGGAGTTGGGGAACAATGGCATGATCGTCTTGTCCGTTCGTTCATTCATCATCTACCGAATCATTGCCAGTTCCATGTAACTCGTGCCAGAGTAAAGGCAGAATCATTCATCTAGTCAATCGATGTAGCTACCATACCTACCCTGCAGCAGAGTATACTCGTGAATCCTCATCCGGGATCTGGGAACCTCCCGCAAGAGGGGAGAGAGTGTCCAAACCCCGAAGTAGAGCATATGACGCGCATGTCGGGTCAAACTTCACGTATTGGTATCCTGAATCACGACCAACCTCTTACGGTCCTCTGTTCTCGCCCAGAGTCGCGAGCAACTGCACCCTCCACCCCCAAGTAGAGTCCCCGAGTCTCCAGTTTACTTGGTACATGCAGACACAAATGAACCCGAATCTGGGAATCGATAGGTTACTCAATAGATAGGCAACTAGTCCCAAACTCCACTCATCGAAACGGCCAGCCAGCCAGCCAGCCAGCCGGCCGGCCGGCCCCTCACCCCCCAAACCCAAAGTTTAAATATCTATGCATTCCACAACACACTCTAAACCTACCAATAAATCTTTCCTCCAGCTACGAGCTTAGGGATCCAGGTTTCAATCAATCGATCGGATCAGGCCAGACACCTCGGATCCGAGAAAACCCCCTCCCCCCCCCTTCCCCCAACTGCCAGACAGACAGACAATTTATCTCCGAGCGTGCCTTCCCCCCCCCTCTCCTCAACTCTAATAGTGCTGTACTCAGTCTAGAACAAGATACCAAGAAAGAAACCCAACCCCGCGGAGATAACCACCGTACAACATCCGTGCAACAAGAATGGACTAGTCCGAAGTCTACCTAGGTAGAATTGAGGAATGAGGTGGTCGACCGTTGCGACCGTTTTCAACCAGCTTCCACGTCTTCGGTCGGAGGTAAACTACTTTGAGTTATCGCCGGATGTCTCCGAAGGAGGGGGGCGGCCGCTTCGGCCGGTAGGAATGGAGTCATCATCCTTTTTCCACAATGTATGGATTGGAGCACGTGGAAGACAAGAGGGAATGTCTCCGCAGGTTGAAGTTCAGAAGAATAATTATGGAGACGAAAGGCGAGGCGAACTTCTAGCCCGTTCCTCATCGCCAACGTTCGCTTGGTTTGTACACATTTCCTGACTCGTACTCATCTTCACCACCATCATTGTTGAGGTGCTGTACCAGTAAAATGCCTCAAGTCCCGGCCGGTTCGCCTCTTGCGGACGGTAAACCCGTCGCGTGGCACCGCCGCCCTAACTTATTGGACTGATCGTCGTAATGATTGTCATAATTATTTGAATACAGAGAAAAAAAAAATCCCCCTTCGACAAAATGGAATGGGAAGTGGGAGGAGAAAAAGGGGGAAGAAGGGCTGCATTCTTCATGCAGCAGACGGTGATGAGAATCCAAGCACGAATCCGCTTGCTACATCTTCTTCCAAAGTTTGCAGTCGTTCATTCCTTTTGGTCGAAAGATCAGACATCGGGCGATCCCTTCCAGCTTTCTTTCTGATCTCTGAGTTCGGCCGAAGCGGTTAATACTCGGCCGGTCAGACACTGCCTGCCTAATCCCGGATCCGTACTCGAAACATAGGACAGGGGGATAAGAAAAAGAGAAATTAGGAAAAATGGTTAAGGTAGACCAACAAACAACACATTGCAAATGTCCAGGAGGCAGACACGAACCGAAGGGGGAGGGGGGAAGTGGAAGGGACCACTAGCCACTGCACACGGACGCCCTCCCGCACGGAAATACTCGTGACTGGGGGCTGGCTATCTTCAAAATACTACAAGTACCCGCCGATGTCCGGCTCTCTCCTCCCTCCTAGTTTCCTCCTTCGCCCCTCTAACTACTCGCAAGTTGGCGGACCCTCTCCCAGGCAATACCCCGGGTTCCAGCCAGAATGGAAGACACACATGCCATCCCCTCTGCCCATGCTCACCTAAGGCTTCGATCCGTGAGACAGCAGGGGCAAGTGACGCGATGGACACATAGCAATCGTGCTTCTGTGACCGATCGATTATGATCAGTATCGGTTGATTCTCAGACATACCGATCGCTCTCCCACGGCATGGGAGCGCCCACCTACGGGATCATCCAAAAGGGACAGATCAGAATCAATGGCCCCACAACTGGGAGATTTGGCTGCAGGTTACTCGAGACTCTCGTGAATCTCGCGTGGTGGCCCATTTATTCACGCGTTCCCCGTACTCATGTTAGGGAAAAGCATTACATCCGAAACCCGGTTCAGAATATTGTCAATATGTCCATCTTGGGGCGGCGCGCTATAGGTCGGAGGAACAGGAACAGCCACAGAAACAAGCCCTACCGGCGACGGGGAAGTGAAGGCTGTGGCCGGAGATAGGTTCGGGGTCGTCATTGCAGTTTCCGGGACCGATAGCATGTTCTGCTTCTTGCTGTGTGCACGGAATGCGGCACTGACTTCCCGCAGGGCACGGAGCGATGAGGCGAGATGTTTCGCCGAATCAGTACGATGGTTCCGATCAGCTTCGCCATCGCCATGCACATGGTCTGACAGAGCCGCCTCCAGTCTCTGGATCAGATCCCACGTGTGCGGGTGCAATCGCTCATTATTGTTGGCTATTAAGAGGAAAGCTGACGCGATCGTCCGTTGCAAGCTAATCCATGTGCGGGACGCATGCGCGTTGATCGAATGCAGTTCAATGAATGCCTGGATCGTATTGCTCAGATTGGTCAAGCAATCCTCCTTGATAATCTCGCGCCGCTGCTCATCCATGTGTGCATCCGGATCCAGTGATACTCGGCACATGAATGATATGAAATACGAGGAATGCAGTCGCAGCTCAGTCCGTTCAATATGCTCCGCCAGCGTGGTACAGCGTTCTTCGAATCGCAGGTGTGGTGCTGCCTCGGCGAGGATCCGTTCAATACGTTGCTTGAACTCCCGGATTTCATGGTACCTGAGGTGGCTATGATGGGTGAACATGAGATTCCGCAACATCTCGAGGATAACGGAGATGATGCGGCACAGCGTCTCGAAGTAACCCCGATGACCGGGCATGGATTTGGGATCGTACGGAATTTCGGGCTGGCTGATCATGGTGATAGAGGGTCGATCGTACGCCAGGGAAAAATGACTGTTCTGAAAAGCCATCGCCCACCTATTCTCGTGTGTGAGTATTGCTGTTTGTTTCTCGCAAGTCGGCATCCACGCCTTACCAGACTCTTCTCCGTGCCGCTTGCACAGCCCGTGAATATCCCGCAGTCTCGACATGCAGACCCAGCACCATACACATGCGCTCGGTCATTCCTATTAACCACAATCAGCTTTTGTCGAGAGGTTGACACGGCAGAAACACCACTCACCAAGCAATGTGTACGAGGCTCCTGCATTCATGTTGTAGGAGAGGACGCTTCCGATGACCAGCAAGATTTGAATGATTTCTACGGTCGGCTGGGATACATAATTCAACATGCGCAAGCAATGATAAGCACATGATACTATAGTCGATCAGTCATGTCACAGCAGAGAGGTGGAGGTTGTACAAACCATATACCCACGAGGTCAATTCGCGTTCCTTGCCTGGTAAGTCGGACAATTGACAGCCCGAGGCTAGAACAGCAAAGAGAAGACTCAGGAAGGATACACTCATGCCAAACGGCTTAACAAGACCGTTAGCATCCGGTCGATATACACCACCAACAGCTTGTCGGCCTCGCAACAGGCGCTCCATATTGTCCTCAAGTCTTGCAACATCCGGCAGCACCGGATAAAGCACGGAACCAACGTCTATATAGAATCTCAACAGTCTAGGTAGCCGAACCGGTCAGTCATTTCAACCCACATCAGGGAAACAGGGGCCGGAGACTTACTTTCGGCATTGTTCGTCGTCGGGTAGCACGCTACACACGCCGGCGATGTTGAATGTATAAGGGTCGGACGACCAAAGATCTACGAACGGATACGCGGCGGATTCATTCCCCATGGCCAGTTCCGCGAGAAGGTCCTCCTTTGGTAACGCCTGTGCCGTATCCTCCGAGTTCTTCGACTTATCCAAGATGTCGATCAATGCCGATCGCGACCCAATATGGACGGAGCCAGTCTTCATTGTAGTTGAACCAAAAATCCCCTCCGAGGTGGGAGAGACCTCATCCTCCGCGGGGATCACATCCAATCGGGGTTCGGTGGTTCTTCGCGCTCCATGGGATTGAAACAGAGAGTCCAGGCTGCCTAGGATCTCCTCCATGGTCCGCATTTTGGTGTTGATTTCGTCCCATTCCACTTGAGACAAAGTCACGACTTCCGGCAGGCCGTCTTGGGTCGTCGATCCGGTGGATCCCGGGTCGGGGCCGTAGGGAGCATCGCGACCGGACGAGAGTTGGGAGGACGGAGGGAGAAATTGAGGTGTAGTGGTTGTTGAGGCGGTCGCGGGGCCGTATTGGTCGGCGAGGAGCGATCCTCCGGGCCTAGGCGCCGAGGGAGGAGGACGGCCGTAGGAGCAGGTGAAATTGCGCTTGACACAATTGCCGCATGGCACATTGCGATCACAGCGAACTTTGCTGGCACGACATGGAAGGCAAGTTTTACATTCGCGAGGCCTGCGGCGGATGGGATACGTAGGCATATTGCAGTTAATGGCACGCGTTTGCGCTCTCTCTCACACTCACTCACTCACAGACCCCACTACTCGACAGGGAAACCGGGCAGACGTCAGGATCGGGCGAGTGAATGAGGATGGTCAGGCGAAGAAGGTCTAGTGTGAGAAACTGCGACGGTATACACACTCATCAAGATTAGATATTATGTTACTCGATCGAAGGATAGCGATGTAGGGAAGAGTTGACAGGCCGGAGAGGATGGGGGCTGGGATGGAGGTTTGGATGCTGAGCGAGGGAGAGAGGATCGAAGACGTGCTATTCGCGCGAGGGGAGCTGATAGCGAATGGAATCGAGTTGGGGGGTGGGAGGGCCGAGGTGTCGGGAAGCGGACGCGACAGGTAACGATAGCGTCGAACTGAGCAGGGAAAATTCCGCACGGGGGAGAGGGGGGAGGAGGACGACGAAGGGCCAAGGCACAGCCAGTCAATGGCGTTCAAGCCGGCACAACCAAGGCTGAGGTGACATGTTAGAAGCAGGCGAGGTATCGACCGGTGGGGAGTAAGGGTGAGTGCAAATGAGATGTGTGGTAAGTAAATAATGGTGGTGGTGTTGGTGGTGGTGGTGGTGGTGATGGTGGATAAATGGATAATATTCAGATCGATGCAGGAGCCGATCTTCTTTTTTTGGGGAGGGGGAAGGGAACGGAGAAAAGGGCCCCGGGAAGGAATGATGGAATAGATGAGTGAGTAGCCAGCAAATAAGCTGGAGGAGAGAAGATGATTTGAATTGATTTCAGCTGGGAGTAATAATGGATTGGATGGATGGATTGGATAAGTTAACAGAAGTGGCTACCTTTTTTTTAGTCAGTTTATGTGACTAAATCACTAATGCCTAGCTAAGTGGTTCGTGCAAGGGTGTTTTGTTTTACCCAACTTTTGTTCGCTAGTAAATAGGCTTCAGGGGATGGATGAGGAAGCGTAAGTAGGTAAGATCATAAGAGAGATTAAGAAGAAAGACAGGCAGCGTGCTAGAGCAATAGAGTGACAGAGTGACAAAGTGACAGAGTGACAAAGTGACAGAGTGACAGGAAGCGTGAGACGCGGAATGAACCATGATGTAGGAGAGGGCGAGAGAGTGTGTGTGTGGCAGTCAACAATGTACGGCGGGAAGGTAATCAAGCTGGAATTCTGTCCGGGTTGGTTGGTCGATTTCGGGTTTAGCGGCGACCCAGCCATTCCCCCATCTCGCCCATCCGAGATGGCGTGGTTTTAGTATCTCAACTAGTGTTGTGTTGATATTCTTCTGCACATTGATCTGGATGCATGCGATATCTCATATCCTCTGCCTTCTACTGTTCCTCGAGGCTACAGTCTGACTTGAATTCTCTTGTCATGACATCGGCTTTTTTGTCCAACGAATGAGAATGGATTGAAACTGTCAGGGGATACTACCTTAATAGCCACTGCCGGCCACTACCAACCTACTTGTGTAGTTGCCTTGCATATTCCTCCTTCCCCCCCCCCCACATCAATATCGCAGCATCATAAGCATGGACCAGGCGCGGGATCCTATATTCATCTCACTGTTAAGATCGTCCCAACAAAAAAAAACAAGCCTAAGTAGCTTATTGTTGATTACTTAATGATTGAACCATAGTTAGCTCACGCAAGTTAGCTCACTTAAGCATAAGGTTGTGTCAGCGGGGTCATGGTCGTTGATCGGGTTCGTTCCGGCAGCCAGGTTTCGGTTCTGCAGGGCTCAGAGACTCAGTTGAATCAACAGGTTCGGGTGGAAATATAGTCGGGATGGTTGTAGGTTATTCGAGATCAAAAGCTAAGTTGGCTGTTGGACAGACACGGTGCTAGCTAGGTGGAGAGATATAGAGTAAGGGCAGATCAGCTGACCCCGACGTGGTCTGATCCGAGGTACCAAGTGGGTAATAATAATGTTGGTTGCCTCGCCCATCCTTTGATGTGTAGATGGTGGATCATAATAGTGAGTACAATTGCAAAACAATGTTAATAGTGCTCTGGAGAAAACCGTGGTATTTCTATTCCAATTTGGTTTGGACAAAAAAAGGTCTATGGTCGTTGCAATCCCGCCGGCTCTTGCTCAACACCCACGCTTGCGCATTATGCTTAATCTGACTACGAATTGCATGACTTCGAGATGCATTGAAAGCCTCCACATGAAGCTTGTCCGAGACCTTGAAACGAAGGATAAGCTCGACAACCGTTCGCTCATTGGCTTGCCCGTGGTGTTTGGCGCCCCGGGTTGGGAATTATAGGTCAGTTTGTACTTTGTAGAGAAGTCGAGACAAAGAAATGGATAGATCGACAGAGAACGCCTGTCCATTCACAACCCTTGGGCCTGAGGAGACGGTCTGAACCCTGCGGAGTGGGGTTTTGATCAGCAGATCGGGCCTGTCGGGACGCATGGCTAACAAGGACCATCCTGGTAGTCAGGTGCGGTTCCGTCATGTTTTGGAAGGCCCCGGCGTGGTCGCTGGGGAGACCTGCGGTACAACCCACCAGTCATGCCAGCGGGCTTTGGATCCGACTTTCGGGATTGTGACCCGGAGATTAACCGACTGGGTCGCCTGGAGTTCTTCGCGTTTTCTCGAATTCGCTTGTGCTTTTAAGGCCTTTTTGACGGTTTCAATCGCGATACTGGCACCGATACAAGCCCGCATAGTATCTTTGATGTCTCGCTTCCAGTCTTCCTCGATGGCGAGAGCGGGACTATCCTTCTCATCGGAATCGTGCATGAATGCACCGTTGGCCAGCGTGGCTTCCCAAGCCTTTCGTGCTTCCGAAATGGCTTTAGCGGCACGCTCTAAGACAATATCATCGCTGTCACCTTCTAGCACCGCCTCCCGATGGTACTCGTCGTAAGGAACCAGCTCCGGTAAGGTGATCTGGAGAAAGGGCTTCATGCGGATCTCGTACCTTAACCGGTCGCTGGAGTAAGCCTGGGGTGAAGAAGTGGTCGGTAGGACCCGATGGCGAGCCAGAAGAACGTATAGAGCGTGCAAAGAAATGGCAAATGCATCCACGGCAACAATCTGTGTAGTCATCCTCTCAAGAAGTTGAATAGAACGCTGAAGGATTGTATGGCGCTCGAAGGCATCGCGCTGCTTAGCCGCCAGATCCGCCAAATTGCGTTTCGCCGTAGCCACAGTGAAGGTCCGGATTCGATCGATGTGACCGAGATGGGTAGAGCAGATGTGAGACAGGTACCAATACATGCCAGGTAGCTCTTCAGGCGCGTAAATAGAGAGCTCGAATCCGAGCTGTAAGATCAGACGGAATTGGCTCAACTTATGATGGTACGCCCAGCTGCTGAGGGGGTAGGAGTAAGTGGTATCGCCATTGGCTAGCTGCAAAGGGGGCTCATTGCTCAATGCGCGAAGCTGCTCGTCAAGATCTTCGGCCTAGGAACGAGATTAGGTTCCAGCCGCCGCGACAAGGGAAAGGTGGAAACTTACTTCCATCTGCAAATTGTCCCAGTCTACAAGTGTATGACAGACAGTCCGTCGGATACGACAGCGGTTCAAGCAGGCACTCCGGAACGTATCAACAAACGGCTACACCAGGTTAACTCAATCGCTGGTCATGATATATGCATTTTGCAGCTTACTTACCTGAGAGAAACGTTTCGTGAAGACATCCATGTGCTGTGCTATTTGGAATCGTGGATCCGAAGGCACCTCGATCTCATCCGCATTGGCTTGCAGAAGTATACTGGACGGAAGAACGATCTGTTCCAGTTCGTCATAGAGGAACTGCTTCACGGGAACCGCTCCAAGTATCGTCCTGTTGCTAACGATGAGGGACTGAACAAGAGATCTTATATAGACGGAAGGCTGAGGCTTTCGCGAAAGCAGAGTCCAGATGACCACCTAAGCAGGTTAGCATCAACTACGATCAGAATGAAACGAACGCTCCGCACCTTCAAATTATACGGCCCGCGGTAGTCAAGAATCTCGAGCAAATCAACAGCATCCTGGCATAACCTTCTCAAATGCGCCAGCGCATCCTCAAAGCTAATCTTGACCATTGGACGAGGAGGAACAGTGCTAGCTAGTTTCCGTTGGATTTTGCAGCTGAAGGATTCAGGCACCTCTTTCCCTAGGACAGCTGACTTGCCTAGAAAATCCAGATGAGATAGACAGCTCAGAAACTGCGCTGTCGATCGTGTCTCTATCACTTCCACATCCTGCTCCAATCCCCAGAGAAACTCTTGTCGGAAGAGCAAGCGAGCCCGAATGGCTTCCGCCACCTTCTCATCGAGCGTATCCGTGTGTTCGTCAACCCAGCGAATCGCGTGGTCCAGGAGATCATGAAAATGTTTGGAGTCGAATTGCGACAGTAGAGTGCGATTATACAATTGAGTGACGAAGTCCTCCTCCTAAAAGGAAAGCAAATGACGAGTCAGATCCATGTACAACCAGCAGAGCACGGCAACGCCTACCTCAAAATAGTACTCGGTGGTGACTCGCGCATGTACAAAATCGCAACACTTCACAAGCGCGAGGCAGTAAGCACGCAGGACAACATGCACTATATCAGGAACCTTCTTGTTGCTTTGCGACTGTCCCCGGCCAAAATGCGCGTTTTCGAGGGTTTTCGGTACGGGCCATAGCAGCCTATCGAGGTATAAGGAAGTGAAAAGGGTCTGGGAAAGAGGGTGGCCCATGTGCCATGCCATCTACCATTAAGTTGACTCGGTTAGTTCGCGTGCTGCACTTTGAGTAAGACGACCAGGTCAAACCTACCTCGTGACACAACAACTCGTCCATGATCCCCAGAACCTCTTCCGTAGCCAGCTCCCGCATCAAGTCGAAGTCGTCTTCAAGGGCCTGTGCGTGATTCTCTCCGGGGCCTAGGTAGCCGCTATCCATCTTCGAGTCCATGATCTGAGGAGCCACAGTATATCAGTCTTGGTGTTTGGGGTTCGAGACTATCAGCATGGCTGGGTATCGAGTCGCAACCAACCTCAAGGGCGCCAACGGCCTCGAAGAGCGTAAAGCATTCATCTTTAACCAGCTGACCGGTTCGCAGTTCTATTTTAGAAGGGATAAAGTCGTCAGTACACCACGTATAGGGATTAAAGGTAAGGCCAGCGGGTATGAGATGCTAACTTGAAGCAGCGATTGTGAAGTCATCTGTGATGTCGCGCGGGACAGCAGACTCTGGAACGACCCGCATTGTCGGGCCTCTTACTTCGTTATTTGGCAGCATATAAGTAAGCAATCATCTGCAGCCAGCTGCTAGACTTCGGAAGCCGGTCATGGATAGTTGGTTAAATGATTTCAGTGGAGATCGGAGAGGATGCTGGAGAGCGGGCGAGGGGAGGCGGGGAGTCGGGCGGACAGGGCAAAACTTGCGGGAACGCAAGCCCGCACCGGTTGAGCAGGAAGGAGTTCCGAAGGAGCTCTTGAGACCATGCCACAAAAATGACCCCAGAGCATTACGTTTAGCACAACAGGCATTTTACTTTGATCAACCATGAAAGCAGGAGGGACACAGTCTTTTCTATTTATACCTGGTCAACGGGCCAATATTGCTACAGAGATCCAGTCCATTCCTGCATCAGAGTACCTCCCGAGACCTCATCAACCTCTGCCCAGCGCTCATTCTCTGTATTCAGACAGTCGTTCTTGCGGAGAGATAACTCATTTCGACTCAGCCTGGCCGGGGGTGGCCTGGACCTGAGCAAGGTTCTTGACTTCACCCTGCTTGCCGTTCTGGATTGAAGAATGTGTTAGTCGAGATGCTTTGGTGCCATTGACCTCCGATATCCACCGGAGGGGCGTTCAGATACGAACCTCCCACTTAGCGAAACGCAGGTCCATCTGACCACGGCGCTCAGCGACAGCACGAGGACCGTCCTTGAGGGAGCGGCGGACGGCGCGAGCGGCGACAGCCAGGTAGCGGTTGTAGCTGTAAAAGTCGGTCATCGCGTTAGTCAGGGCCTATAATCGGAGAGCAAGCGGACGTAGAGTGACTAGAAACGTACGTGAGACCAGCGGACTTCCAGGCGAATACCATTTTGACGGTAGAAGACGAATGAGGGGATTCGGTTTAAGGAGAGGGTATCGCTTTCTCTGTGATGCTTTGCAGACGGTCGAGTTCGGAGGATCGGGAACTCGAGTCATGTGACTCACGTGATATCTCTCGTCACCTGACCGTATTCCGGGTGACGCTGCGGGCGGACGGACCGGAGTGAATGTATACTTCCTAATCGGGTAACACTATACACACGGGACGGTCAGGCTGGGCTAAGAGCAAAGAACATGCAGCCTCATGGTCTATCTTGATATGTGGTTCTTGAGCCTTCTTCTAACATATTTGCAACGCGTGGAATAGGATGGAATCTTGAACCTAGCATCTCTCGTGTTGACTGGCTCCTATAAACCCTGATGTAATGAACCTGAGGAGGTTGCACCGGGGTAGAGCCTGCTATCGTAGCTATCCTCCCAAACTGATGTGTTACTAGGGGACTGCACTGCAGCTCGGTCACCTCATCAAAAGCCATGGACTTGCCTAGATATATCTCATTCAAATTAGCCTTGATACTCCGGTCATTTACATAAAGAATATCCTTCCACCGGGTTCGCCGACATGAGCTTACAAACGGAATATTATAGATTGTGATTAGATCGTTGTTATCAGATGAGACGCGGGTCTTAGGCGCGGGTCCTGGAAAATTGAGCAGTGTGTTCCCCTGGAAACTTTTTGATATCAACCACTGCTCTAGTCTTTGTGCGTTTGCTCAACATGTAATCTGTGGTCAGGTCCTGTCTGTTTCATAAGTGAGCTATCACTCCCCCAAGCTCACCTTACTTCTTTATCTTACTTCCTATCACTCTCTTCCTTAATCTCAAGTCTACAAACTCTACATTGGTAAGTGAGTCCTGTCAACTACTTCCGATCTGCAAAATACATCTCTCTCTTCAGACGCGTAACCAATAACTTCCTATCCTTTACATGCATCTCATAATATGAGAGCTGACGGATGTGATTCTCACGCAGAAATCAATCGGCGAGAAAAGCCCAGGCAGGTTCTGATTGGAATTAGACAACGGTATTGGTTCTCTGGTTGGCTTTCCAAGTGTTGTCTGTGACCTTGAATGAGGCGTATATTGAGAGCTCGCACAGGGTACAATGAGCTCCTCTCGCAAGTCGTCAAACAGGCCAAAGAAACGAGTTCTGGTACGATGGGATGGTATACATGCCTTTTCCTCTCTGCGTTCGACACTCATTTTCTTCCCGAACCATAAGCTAACATTCGAAGAAAACCTGAACGAGCTTCTTCTCCTGACTGTACAATCTGTTTGTAACATCCAGTCCGTGAAGATTCCATGGACCGAGGTTGCCAGCACCATGGGACACAATGTCACTGAGGGAGCTATCGTCCAGCACTTGGCAAAGCTGCGCAGCCGTAGGGTTGCTGCTGGCAAACCTGTGCCTCCGCCCCTGCGACGTGGCGGCCTTGGTACCCCGAGCAAACCAACTGAAGCGCCATCAGGCAAGAATACGCCAGACAGCAAGCCTCAGCGAGTCACCGCAGGGGCGGAGCACCATGGTGAGACGGGAGCAAGTGATCTCGCGGACGTAGACTCATCTTCGGATGAAGACTATGTGGAGGGAAGAGCATCCAAGTCACGCAAGAAAAAAACCATCACGGCCGGCTCACGGGCCCGACGTAAGCGCAAACCCATTGTCAAATTGGAACGCGACACTGATGGGTATGACTCTGATGAAGAAGATGAAGACGACAGTCTCTTGGTCCCTGGCGCGGAGTTTCTTGATTGCCCGAATAGCATGAGCTCACCCCCCGAGCGTCAGGTGGGGAGCCCCAAAGATTTCCAACCTAGGAAGATAATCGTACTCAAGTATGCAAAATCTACCAATCAAGCCTCTACTGGTGACATCTCGGAGCCTGTCTTGGGTTCAACGTCTAATGATGCTTTCATTGCATCGGGCTATACATTGCAACAGCAACCTGCCGGGGCTGGTCCGTTCCCAGGTCAGAGCCAAGCCCCGTCTGCCAACCTATCTGCCAACCTATCTGAATCTTTCTATCAGAACGCTGTGTCCTCGGCGGACAGCTATATGCACTTACAGCCTGGTGATCCTGGACACCATCGCTCAACTCTCTGGTTCAACGACGCTACTCTTGGATATCCCAATGCTGTTTACCACGGGCTTTCCAATCCTGATCTGGATCTCGATTTCTCTGGAAACCATATGAGTAACACAGACCAGCAATTCGATCATTTGCTTGGCTTTGACGATGATTTGGTAGGCTAGTTGCTGTCACTCCGGATGACGCTCTTGACATACCAGCACTTCAATGTCTCCTTTTGTAGTGAGACTTCAATGACTTGGTGTCTATCTTATCTTACAACCAGCCACAGCTCAACATTTTTTCATGCTCATCTCTGGCAATGATCCTCGTTCCTTCTTATTCTCTACCAGTCATCTATCAACTGATAGCTGGGTTTTTTTTCCCTTTCTTCTTTCCGAGCTTCAGTCCCAGGCGACGATTTCTGACGTTGACAATGGTTCTGTTTTGATAGTGCTACCAAAAGCATCACTGATTTATTGATGGATAAAAGACAGCATGTCTAATACGATAGTTCTTTTGTAGATCGAGTCTACAGTAACTTAGTTAACTCACAGTACGTTTGTAAGCAAGAGCCGATTATCGGGCAAGTGTTCTGCCAGTGACATCCGACGAGCCGGGCGATTTCCCTCGGATACCCGGTGCCCACGTGATCTTCTAGGAGCTTCTGCCAGCCAAGACAATCCGGGGATCGAGAACCGCCTGGAAAATTTTCGAGACTTTGGCTTCATCTCCATCTTCTTTCATCTCTCCCCATCCTCCTCTTTTCTTCTCTACCTCTTCTCCCTCCTAACCCGTCCTTGCTCTGAGAGTTCTGATCGGGCTGACTCTGTTTGATTGACCTCATTATCTTCTTCTGTCTGTTTTCCGTCTATTAATTCACCCCCTTCCTCAAGATGCAGAGAGCTCTCGGTTCCAGGACTTCTGTCCTTTCCGCTGCTTCTAAGCGCGCTCCCCTCTACAGATCCTCCGGTGTCAACCTGCAACAGCAGCGTTTCGCTCACAAGGTATGCTCCTCTCACCTCAGCAAGATGCCAATCCGGGTATGGCGATGAGTCAATCCGCAGCCTTGCTAACTTCGTGTAGGAGCTCAAGTTCGGCGTTGAGGCTCGTGCCCAGCTCCTCAAGGGTGTTGACACTCTTGCCAAGGCTGTCACCTCCACTCTTGGTCCTAAGGGTCGCAATGTCCTGATTGAGTCTCCCTACGGCTCTCCCAAGATCACCAAGGGTAAGCCATCGCCCTACATTCTCACTTTCGGTCAAAAGAGATCCTCGTACTGACGGATGTAGACGGTGTGAGTGTCGCCAAGGCCATCACCCTCCAGGACAAGTTCGAGAACCTCGGTGCCCGCCTCCTCCAGGATGTTGCCTCCAAGACCAACGAGCTTGCTGGTGACGGTACCACCACCGCCACCGTTCTCGCCCGTGCTATCTTCTCCGAGACCGTTAAGAACGTTGCCGCTGGCTGCAACCCCATGGATCTCCGCCGCGGTATCCAGGCTGCCGTCGATGCCGTCGTCGACTACCTTCAGCAGAACAAGCGTGACATCACCACTGGTGAGGAGATCGCCCAGGTCGCTACCATCTCCGCCAACGGTGACACCCACGTCGGTAAGCTCATCTCCACCGCTATGGAGCGTGTTGGCAAGGAGGGTGTCATCACCGTCAAGGAGGGCAAGACGCTTGAGGACGAGCTTGAGATTACCGAGGGTATGCGCTTCGACCGCGGTTTCACCTCCCCCTACTTCATCACCGACACCAAGGCCCAGAAGGTCGAGTTTGAGAAGCCCTTGATCCTGCTCTCCGAGAAGAAGATCTCCGCTGTCCAGGACATCATCCCTGCCCTTGAGGCCTCCACCACTCTCCGCCGTCCTCTCGTCATCATCGCTGAGGACATTGAGGGCGAGGCTCTCGCCGTCTGCATCCTGAACAAGCTCCGTGGTCAGCTCCAGGTTGCTGCCGTCAAGGCTCCCGGCTTCGGTGACAACCGCAAGAGCATCCTCGGTGACTTGGCCGTCCTCACCAACGGTACCGTCTTCACTGACGAGCTCGACATCAAGCTTGAGAAGCTCACCCCCGACATGCTCGGATCCACTGGCTCCATCACCATCACCAAGGAGGACACCATCATCCTCAACGGTGAGGGTAGCAAGGACAGCATCGCTCAGCGCTGCGAGCAGATCCGTGGTGTCATGGCCGACCCCGGTACCTCCGAGTACGAGAAGGAGAAGCTTCAGGAGCGTCTTGCCAAGCTCTCCGGTGGTGTTGCCGTCATCAAGGTCGGTGGTGCCTCCGAGGTTGAGGTTGGTGAGAAGAAGGACCGTGTCGTCGATGCCCTGAACGCCACCCGCGCCGCCGTTGAGCAGGGTATCCTCCCCGGTGGTGGTACCGCTCTGCTCAAGGCCTCCGCCAACGGCCTTGGCAACGTCAAGACCGCCAACTTCGACCAGCAGCTCGGTGTCAGCATCATCAAGAGCGCCATCACCCGCCCTGCTCGCACCATCGTCGAGAACGCGGGTCTCGAGGGCAGCGTCATCGTTGGCAAGCTCACCGATGAGTTCGCCGGTGACTTCAACCGCGGTTTCGACAGCTCCAAGGGCGAGTACGTCGACATGATCGCCACCGGTATCGTCGACCCTCTCAAGGTTGTCCGCACCTCCCTGGTTGACGCCAGTGGTGTCGCCTCCCTCCTCGGTACCACCGAGGTCGCCATTGTTGAGGCCCCTGAGGAGAAGGGCCCTGCTGCCCCTGGTGGTGGCATGGGTGGCATGGGTGGCATGGGCGGTATGGGCGGTGGCATGTTCTAAGCTGCTTCTGCCGCTTCTGCTACCCCATTCTCGTCTCCTATCTACCCTTAAACCTTACGTCCTTGTTTCTGAAAGGTTTCTCCTTCAAGCGTGTTGTTGCATAGTCCGGGTTATATCCTGATATATGGTTTCTGTTTCTTTTCTTCTTAAT